TTTTAATTGAGATTCAGAATGAGGTGAAAAACGTGAAAATTACAAATATCTGATTCGCTGTGGCAAATTATCTATTAGCTGTCATTTTCCATGGTGGATAACAAAACACTAATTCCTCATGGGAAGTGACAGCTAGGTATCTCAATTTTCAAAACAGTGGTATGTAGTCATCTGCCATTTTTATGTGATAAAAGTGTGATTAAAAAATTCTCCAAAATATTACAACTTTTTTCAAAGAGCCTTTTCCGTAATAAATGTCTCTGTGCAGTGTGGGAAAAGATTTACGAAATCAGTCTTCCCCCTGCATGATATTGGGTGACAGGCCGCCATTTGTCACCGTAAATCAGATACATTTTTCAATTTTTTGTTATTCAACTTATTCTGAATATAAATTGAAAATGCTCTTTGAAAAAATTAAGAATTTCTTCTACTTTTTTTTTGATTATTCATTCATAATTTTTCAAAACTTCTGCATGATGCAGGCCTCAATTGACATTTTTTTCCATCATAATTTTTTAATAAAAAATTCAATGTTTTTGCGGGAGCTTTTCATTTTATGTCTTCATTTCTTGAGGTGAAATCGTCCATCAAACAATTTATAACAGAGCTATAGACCTCCAAAGCGCCTCACCATAAACTAATGAGTCATAAAAAATAATCTCCAGTAAGAAAAAAAATACTTAAATTTTTTTTTTCAATTTTATCCATTTTTTTACCCCGAATTGATTTTGTTTGTTGGAAAGCTTTATTCATTACTTTAAGAAAAAAATATAAATCTCGTCTTTCCCTCGGCTTTTGATTTCAATTTCTAAAGAATTCCTTTACATCTCAAGAAAAAAATCTCTGCAAAAAATAATAAATAATTTGACTTTGAAATCAATTGATTTTGGCATAAATAAATTTACAAAACATCAACTTTTGACAATTCATGTTGGTAAATGAAAAAATGTGGACGCAAGTTCCCAAAAAATCTTGTAAAAAAATCTCTTTAGTTGCATAAAAAGGAGAAAAAGCTCCTCAAGCTCTGCGCATGAAAACTATTTAGAAAAATTCTGAAAGCGTGGAACCAACTCCAGAAAAAAGCCTCTTCGAGAATAATTTCATCTGCACTGAGAAAAAATATTACTTCTGCCCAGGGATCCCCATCAATATTACATTTCTGTAACATTACAAGAATTTTCCCCTTACATTACTGAAGGTTTAAAATATGTTGATTCAATTTTTCAAATGATATAATATTAATAATCTGATTTTTTACGAATAATGATGTATTTAAAATTTGTCAATATGAAACTGTACATTTACTACTAAATGAATAATTCAAATTTCTTGAAAGGGCATTTTCGATTACACAAATAATCATCAATCTTCCTACCTCAATTATTGATTGATAAAATAGTTTAAAATTTGAATATTTGAATTGATGAGGAGATACTATGAGTTTTAAAAGTCGTGGGTTATTGGAGTGAGACTTTTCATACGTTGAAGATCGATTATATAGATCTGAAAACGAATAATTAGTGCAAAAAAAATTTTTTTTTATTGTTCGTTTGCCCGAAAACGCTTAAAATGCTAAAAACAGTCCAGGACTTCCAATTTTTGAGCTACAAAAGAATTTTTTTTTTCAAAATTTTCGGAAAAATATGTGGAACAACAATTACGACCCAGTTTTTTGGAATTCGCCTCCTACACAGCTGATTTCGATTTTTTTCATATAAAAAAATTCACCATTTGTGTAAAAAAACAAAGAAAGCAAATTTAGCCATGTAAGAGACGAATTAAAAAAAAATATCTCGTAATTGTTATTCCATCCCTGCTTCTGCCAAGTAAATTTACCTGCCACAAGTAATTTTTTTCTCCGCGTGCATAAGAAAAAATCTTGTAAAATCAATGTTTGTGTGACGTGAGAGGTTTTCTACCTCCCTTAATTGAGTCACCAGTCGACTCAAAAACTATTGCTCAACTAGCTACGGTCAGAGCTCACGCGGATTTCTCTCAAGATCTAACGTGACGCGACTAGGATAGGATTTGATTAGGTATTCTTCGTATAAAACAATCGAGCACCACTGTTACATTAATAATTGAAAGTATATTGAATAGATAGGTAAAGTATAAAATCAACTGTTAAATGGGTTCAGTTTCGACGCGGATCTACTATAGATTTTTGACTAGGAGAGGACGTCCGTCCATCTTCAACTCCTGCCGTACTCTGCCCTATTCCAGAGCTTCAAAGTCGTTGCTGACCGAAAATGCTAAATAAGTGTTCTCACGGTTTTTCTAACTAACACGGCCATATGTCCATCACTGACAATGGCTAAGACAATCAAACAGCTCCATTCTGAGAAGCTGGACTCAGGTGTCACCGTGAGACTGCTTATTGAGCATTTGGGACTTTTTCTATCTAGAAAATATTAATTGAATAAAATCGACGTGTGAATATCTCCACACGTCACATTTGAAAATTCAAATTAGTAAACGAAAGATTATGAACACAATTTCCAAAAAAATTCTCTTAAAAAAATTATTTTAGTTGAAACAAAAATTAAGAAACTCAAAAAATGTAAAAATGCAAAAATTTCAAAAAATCCAATTTTCTAATTAAAAATTACGAATTAAAAATGTGACAATTATATTGAACTGTTGCACTTACTGACGATGTGTATCATGAAAGAAGCGAAGACCACAGCCCACCCCCACCCCCCATCGGGTGGTGGTGCAGGCTCGTATAAATCAACCGTTCCCTCCGGACTCTCCTTCCCCTTCTGTTTCTTCTCGGTATCCTCGAGAGCGTGTGCCATTATTCCTCTGAGAACTCGCACGTGGCACCCGGCACTCAATTCAACTCAACTCGACTCCCACGATTTTACGGGAAATAACTTTCCCAAATTCACAAGGCAAAAAAAAAACAAAAATAAAATATTCGAAACGGTAAATGATCGGGGGATCGACTCCGGGCGATGGATCCAGTGGACTAGGTACCACTGAACGACAGTTGTCTCCTGGGAGCGCACATTTCACATTATCACCGCAACTATTTGATTTTCATGTTTGAGTCCTCGTAAATCCGATATATTATCAAATCCTATTTTCTTACGTCACTTTTTGATAAAAATTCCGAGCGTTGAGTTGTCCATAATCTTCGAGATGTTAATCATATCTCTGATTAACTAATCTGTGAGGGGAAACTACAAGAAATTTTTTTTATTTCAATTTTTAATATTTAAAACAATCACTAATTAATTAATCAATTAAATGGTTAATTAATTATTCAATTAATTGGACGATAAATTTGTAAGAGGAAACTATGGGAAAGCTTATCATTTTAATTTTTAAGAATTAAAAAATTCACTAGTTAATTAATTAACTAATCTATTAGTTAATTAGCGATTTTTTTGTTTTTATCTCATGTTTCTAATTATGTTTACAGTTGATGTTTAATCACAGTTTTTTAATTAAACAAAAAAAAAGAAAAAAAACTCATTTTGTTTTCAATTTAAAATTCAGTAGTTAATTAATTAATTGACTAATTGATTAGTCAATTAGCGATTTTTTTGTTTTTATCTCATGTTTCTAATTATGTTCACCGCTGATGTTTAATCACAGTTTTTTAATTAAACAAAACAAAATGAAAAAATTATTATCAATTTTTTAAAATAAAAAATTCCCTAGTTCATTAATTAATTAATTGATCAACAATTGTTTCGTCCACTTGTTGCCGCACGCTTCTCGTATTCATCAACATCACTGACCTTAATTCAACTTTTTTTTTATTAAACAAAACGAAAGTTTGAAGAACTTTTATCTCACGTTTTCTTTAATTAAAAATTTTAATCAATATTAATTTCATCTTCTAATTATCAATGCAATAAAAAACAGAAAAACAAAAATATTAAAAATATGATATGATAGCATAATATTATTAATAAAGCTGAAATTTTGTGATTAAAAATAATAAAAGTTCAAAAATTTAGATTTTTCGTTTTTTCAATAATTAAAAAATCCACCTGTTCATTAACTAATTAATCAAGCCATTAATTTTCTCGTCCATTATTCTCATCTCCTCCCAATATTCATTATTATTTCCGAAATTTAATTACACTTTTTAAATTAAACGAAACGAAACGAAACTAAAAAATACCTCTCTTTAATTATTTAAATTTCAATCCTCAATTCACTAATGAATTTCACCAATTAATTATCGTTAAAAATATGTTGATCTGTCACTGTATCACCACTAGAATCACATTATCATCAACAAAAAGAAATTATTATTCTTCAATGAAAAAGACAAAAAGTTGAAAAATTTTGTTTCATCAATGTTCAATTTTTCACTTCAACAATTAAAACAAAACGATTAATTTATTGTCTGGAAAATTATTTCTTGGCGTCTATTAAGCTTTTCTGTCAACACTTGAAGTTTGAATGAAGACGGAGCATGATAAATTTCCACAGAACCGCGCACTCCAACTGTCTCAAGAACAACTGAGGAAATTACGTTCTCTTTCCACTGAGCATTCCTCGGGCATTTTTTTTTCTTTACTGACGGTGGTGGGAAAAAGACGTCTGTGCGCAGGAAACGCATTCAGATAACACCACACGCTGGTAGCTTACTGCTGGAACTTTGTTGTTTTATCGAAAATTGGTGGAGTTAGTTTTGGCACATTGTTATGTTTAACAAAACGTGACGGCAAAATAGATGGAAAAATGTTGGTTGATAAGTTGTTATCAGTGTTCTCAAGGCTGTTGACTCAACAGCTACTGGTTGTATCCGAGTATTCAATGTATTCGGTGGAGAAAAAGTCAAATGCACATTTCGACCTAATTATAATGTCTGAATAAAATTATTTCATCACGTGGAATTATCTCTCTGCATTATAAAAATCCCAATCGACTTCTGGTGATGGAAATTTGGTACTCGAAATTAAGACTCCAAAATTAAGGGTCATGAGGGTTAAAATAAGGGTCATGAGGGTCAGAGTAAGGGTCATGAGGGACAGAATAAGGGTCATGAGAGTCAGAGTAAGGGTTACGGGGGTCAAAATAAGGGTCATTAAGGTCAGAGTAAGGGTCATGAGTGACAGAATAAGGGTCATGAGAGTCAGAGTAAGGGTTACGGGGGTCAAAATAAGGGTCATTAAGGTCAGAGTAAGGGTCATGAGTGACAGAATAAGGGTCATGAGAGTCAGAGTAAGGGTTACGGGGGTCAAAATAAGGGTCATTAAGGTCAGAGTAAGGGTCATGAGTGACAGAATAAGGGTCATGAGAGTCAGAGTAAGGGTTACGGGGGTCAAAATAAGGGTCATTAAGGTCAGAGTAAGGGTCATGAGTGACAGAATAAGGGTCATGAGAGTCAGAGTAAGGGTTACGGGGGTCAAAATAAGGGTCATTAAGGTCAGAGTAAGGGTCATGAGTGACAGAATAAGGGTCATGAGAGTCAGAGTAAGGGTTACGGGGGTCAAAATAAGGGTCATTAAGGTCAGAGTAAGGGTCATGAGTGACAGAATAAGGGTCATGAGAGTCAGAGTAAGGGTTACGGGGGTCAAAATAAGGGTCATTAAGGTCAGAGTAAGGGTCATGAGTGACAGAATAAGGGTCATGAGAGTCAGAGTAAGGGTTACGGGGGTCAAAATAAGGGTCATTAAGGTCAGAGTAAGGGTCATGAGTGACAGAATAAGGGTCATGAGAGTCAGAGTAAGGGTTACGGGGGTCAAAATAAGGGTCATTAAGGTCAGAGTAAGGGTCATCAGAGACAGAATAAGGGTTCCCAGGGTCAGAGAAAGAATGACGAGTGTCAGAATAAGGGTCATGAGAGTCAGAGTAAGGGTTGCGGGGGTCAAAATAAGGGTCATTAAGGTCAGAGTAAGGGTCATGAGGGAGAGAATAAGGGTCATGAGAGTCAGAGTAAGGGTTGCGGGGGTCAAAATAAGGGTCATTAAGGTCAGAGTAAGGGTCATGAGGGAGAGAATAAGGGTCATGAGAGTCAGAGTAAGGGTTGCGGGGGTCAAAATAAGGGTCATTAAGGTCAGAGTAAGGGTCATGAGGGAGAGAATAAGGGTCATGAGAGTCAGAGTAAGGGTTGCGGGGGTCAAAATAAGGGTCATTAAGGTCAGAGTAAGGGTCATGAGGGAGAGAATAAGGGTCATGAGAGTCAGAGTAAGGGTTGCGGGGGTCAAAATAAGGGTCATTAAGGTCAGAGTAAGGGTCATGAGGGAGAGAATAAGGGTCACCAGGGTCAGAAAAGAATGGCGAGCGTCAAAATAAGGGTCATAAAGGTCAGAGTAAGGTTCATGATGGACAGAATAAGGGTCATCAGGGTCAAAGAAAGAATGGAGAGCGTCAGAATAAGGGTCACAAGGGTCAGATAAGGGTAATAAGAGTCAGAATTAGGGCCACGATGATCAAAATAAGGGTCATTAAGGTCAGAATAAGGGTCCAGAGGGTCAGAATAAGGATCAGGAGCGTCAGAATATGAATCACAAGGGTCAGATAAGCGTCATGAGAGTCAGATTAAGGGTCACAAGGGTCAAAATAAGGGTGACGAGGGTTATAATGAGAGTCAGATTAAAGATCCAAGTAAGTGGCACAAGGGTCAGATTAAGGATCACAAAGGTCCGATTAAGGGTGAAAATAAGGGTCATGGGGTTAGAAACTAAGGGTCACGAGGGGCATACATCAGACAAATAAATAAATAAAACCATCAAAAAATCATTTTCCTTTCAGAATTCAATATAATCAATTTATCCACTTTTTCGAGAATAAAAAATCCAGAAATCAAAACTATCGTTGAAAAACTTTTCCAATTTTTGAAACGGAAAAAACTGAATTAAGAAGTCGCATTTTTTAAATCTCGCCTCAACATTTTGTTCCAAAAAAAATGCAAAAAAATGTTTTTTTCTAAAATTTCTGCAATTAAATTTTTCAAAGTTTCCTTCAATAAAAAAATTGTGAAACAGTAAAATCGGCTCGTTATCAGCGACTCCGTCGTTTCCAGCGCTATTTTCCTCTACAATTCACCTTTCGTGACTAAAAAAAAACTCTCGTGACTTCACGGAAGCCTCTCATTAAACATTGACCCATAAGTTTGAAAACCTCGGAATTGCAACCATGGGATTGACTCACTGCATAAACGAGGGACCCATACCACTGTGAAAATACTGCAGTGGCTTTTGAAAAAGCTACCAAGGGTCACACGCACGATCGTTTCAACAGAACACGACGAGAAGGGTGAATACTGGATTATTCGAGTCTCTTCCCTCAACTTTGTCGTTGAAAAATAATGACCCCCGAGTGCTTTCAGTATCGCCTACTCGACAATCCTAAAATCTTATCAAAGACCCTCCCCCTCTCTCTCCCCCGCCCCTTCCACCCTCTTAGAACCCGCAAAACCCATAAAACTTCAATTTTTAACGACCGTAAAGTCCACTTCGCCCAGTTTTTCTCGTAAATCTCGAAAACCGCTGAAGCAAACCAAACGCAACTGCTTTCATTGTGAAGCCGGGGAAATTTCCTCTCCAAAATCCTAGTCATGAACCCGTTTTGCCCCAGGGGTATGTTGAACAGCGTTAAAGGGTGACCCGATTTTTTTCCCCCGGAAAAATTTCCCCGTCAAAATTCCCCTGGAAATTTTTTCCCTTGGAAAAAAATTCTTCGCCTAAATATTTCCCCGGAATATTTTCCCCCGAAAAATTTCCATGAATTTTTTCCCCGAATAATTTCCCAATGATGATTTATTTGTGATGGATGCAATTTACGAATGACAAATTAATTCGGATTATGTGAGGAAATTGTTTTGTACCCTTGACTAAATAGTCAATCATAAATAAAATACGTTACCACAAAAAATATTTATTTATCAATAATTGATAATAATTAATTTAATTATTATTAATTATTAATTAATAATAATTAAATTAATTATTATTAATTATTTACGTAATTTATGTATGATTGAAAAAGTTGTATTGAATGCAGATTGTTTTCTGTGTGTCAGACAATTTTTTGGAGAATGATTGTTGTGCAATATTATTTCATTAATAAATTGGGATTTGGTTAAATGAGGATGTTTTTTTGATTTTATGTGATTGAGTTGTGGTTCATCGATTATGGGGGAAAATTGAATTAAAAAATTTGATTTTTTTGTCATGTGTTTTTACCAATTGAGAGATACAATAAATTGAGTTGATAGTGGTAATGTGTGTATGTGTAATCGTCATTTGAATCCGTAAGGGGAATTAAGGGTGCCAAGTGAATTTGACGATGAAAATTGACATTCACCAACAAAGTTATAATTTTTTTTTAAATAGTATTAGACAGATGGTGAACATCGATGACAATTTTAAAATTTTAGAACTTATGGATATCGAGAAATTAAATAAACAAAATCAGTCTTATGCACGGCCTCTTATGGAGTTTTGATTAAATTGAACGTTTCAACCCCCTAGGAACTCAAGAAAAATTTGAAAAAATTTGAAGATATGGGGAATGATGTGTTCAATGTGATGGCGACAAAAAACAATGGGGTACCGGGGTGAATAAGAGAGATATTTCAACCCGCCGTACCCATTTGATCCCATGCTTTCTCGAGGTTCGTCACGCGAAATAGAGGATTTTCCGCATTCATTTTCTCCATGTCTAGTTCTGGTTGCGGGTTTGAAATTTCGTCGGATGGATAAATACATATTTCTCCAATAAAAAAAAATAATAAAAAAAGTTCAATTCAAGGAAGAAATGTCACAACTTTGATACTACAATAAGATGTAAATTATATTATATATATACTTTCTTTTTTTTCTATTGACAGCTGTATAAATTTGTTTCGCGCTTAAATAAAAAAAAAAATAAAAAAAAATATTTCTCCAATGATGGAGAAAAATTTTTTTGAATCTTTTTTCAAATTCACTTGGCACTCTTAATTCCGGGAATTTATTTCCGAGGGGATTTTTTTCCCGGGGGGATATTTTTCCGGAGGAATTTTTTCGGAGGGAAAAAATCCGGAAACTGCGTTAAAGTAACGTTTTCCATGCCAAAAAGGGTTTTCGCGGTTTTTCTAAGATATTGCGGGGCAAAACGGGTCAATGACCATGTTTTTGGATCGGAAATTTTTCAGGCTCTCCAATGAAACTATTTTCACGCGGCTAGCACTCTCCGGCCCGGAGATATTCGCAAAAACAGACAAGATTGATTTTTTGAATTCAAGAAATTTCTTAAATATAAGAATTTTGGTTTTTGTTTTGAGAGAATTGGTTTATTTTTGAGGAAAATGAATGGAAAATAGTGGAAGAAGTGCCGAGGGATGATTCCATGAGCCGATAAACATTACGATGAGATGCTTTGGATTTATTTATAGATAATTCAGTTTATAGAACAGACCAATAGAGTACGTGTTGGCAATTGCAACAAAGAAAATGCTAAACACAAAGTGCAGAATGTCCTCGGGAAAATGAACGCGGTGTATTTCACTTTCACGTCACAATTCCGATGAAATGTTAACGACCTACATTGCAGTTGATCTTTGGCCCGAGGAAAATAACTGGGTGATAACTTATTTCTTTTGTGGAATGCAACAAAAATTAGGAAATACAGTTTTGATAAAAAAAATTCCTTTGATAGGTGATAAAAAATCAAGCCTTGTCTTCTGTTGATGACTAACTGCGTTCGTTATGTTTGTGTCGAACATAGAATTTTTTTCCAATTTTTTCATTCTTTAATGATGTTTGCAATTCGTTAAAAAAATTATTGTAAAATTCGTTGTATTTGGTTTTCGTTATTTATCTCGTTATCGAGTGAGTTTAGAGCGAAATGTCATAAGATATTTTTTGCAGACAATTAAATGTTCGACAAAGAATGTCTTGTGACGTTTTGTTCTAAACCCACTCATTACCTAGATAATTAAACGTTAATCCGAGATAATTGAACGTTGAGAAATTCTGAGACCTTTTGTTGATGACTAATTGAGTTAATTCTCTGTTTAAAAAATGATTTATTGACTTATTGATTTTGAAATGTTCTGGGACGATTAGGCACGCACGAAATTGAACAAAAAAATTTAATTAAAGAATTTATTGAAGTTGGGGGGCTATTTCGAGTCATTATCTCAGCCTTAATGGAACTTCTTTCAACATTTTTATCGCTTTGGGAGTTGGGAGGAGAAATGGATTAAAGCGTTTGCGTTTGGGAAAGTGCATGGGACAGACTCCGGTTGTATTAATTGATCCAGATAGTCTTAATGTCTCATATTAATGACGTTCAATCAGTGGTTATTTTTTACCCTCGAATGATGTTCACAATTCATTAAAAAAATTATCTCATCAATTTTCACGAATAAAATTTCGTTGTTCATTGTATTTCGTTTTCGTTAATTATCTCGTTATTGAGTAATTTTAGAGCGAAATGTCATAACATACTTTTTGCAGAGAATTAAATTTTCGATAAAAAATGTCTTGTGACGTTTTGTTCTAAATTGACTCATCACCTACATAATTAAGGATTAATCTAATTGAACATTAATGGGGCAAAGTTAAACGGTTGTGAATTCCATTCAAACTGGAAAATTGAGTTGTTAATAAGTTGAACGAATTTTCCACTAGAGTTGAAGCACTCGTTGTTGATAATTGAGTCACGCCAGACCTTTGATAGTCGTCCAAGTGTAATTAAAACAGCAATGCATTTCGCCTCCAGCGCTGGCCGCTATCGACACTTGCGACATACGCTGATTATTCAAATCACCTTTGAATCCCGTTCCGAAGGCTTGAAAATGAAACAATGAACGTCCCGACAAGCTCAGTTGAGTCATTAGCCCCGTGACGGGATAATCTCATTGACGAATTATTTTCACGTAATTAATTCTCGTATCAACGAGTAACAAAGCATTCAAAATAATATTTTTGATGCATATTATTGCTTAAATATCGAAATAAAAAAATCCCTGACGTGTTTTCACTGACGAAAATTAATGAAATAATTTTATAGTCCCTTAATAATTCGTTTTAACAGTAATAAAAAGTTTTAAAAGAAAAAAAACGCACATTATTCCACTAAACGTTTTGCAAACGTTAGTTAAGGTTCAATTAAGGGGGTAATGAGTCGGTTTGGGAGAAAACATCAGAGGAGATTTTTTATTGGAAATTTAATTCTCTGAAAAAAATTTCTTATCACATTTTCCTCTAAAACCCTTCATTGCCGAGATAAACACCGAAAATAAACATCGGAATAGATTCAAAATTTCTCCAGTAATCGCTAAACGTTTTCCAGACGTCGAGAAATGCTTAATTATCTTGGTAATGGGTGAGTTTAGGACAAATGTCAATCAACATTTTTTGTTGGAAATTCAATTCTCTACAAAAAATTTTTTATCACATTTTCCTCTAAAATCCGTCATTACCGAGATAAACACCAAAAACTGGGTTTAAAAAAAAATAAAACGAAAAAAATCATTCTAAATTCGTCTCATCCCCGATTTCCTCCGCAAAACTTCCGTAAAAAAACCAAAACCAAAAACTCTCCAGAGAACTTCTCCAATCATCGATAAAACATCAATTTTCGTTAAACCATCAAGATTCGTATCTCGAATTCCGAAGATGAAAACTGTTTTCTCATTACCAATGCCCGCGTTAAAACCACATTTTATCACCGTCCACCGGCACAACACGTGGTGTCACCACTGATAAATGCCTCAAAAGCATATTAATCCCGCATAAACACTTGCACTACTGACAACCCATCAAAAAAATCAATCAACAGTCGAAAAAAAATCGAAAAACCGAAAAATCGCGCTCTCCGCACGCGTTCCGCCGTTTGATGATGAGCCACTACTTCAAATCGTCGCGCAGACGCATTGAGGTGTGCCCTTCCGTTCCTCCGCGAAAACTGTCTCGACCCCGTGTGAATAGTAAAAGCCGAGACGGGGTGATATCAATGCTTGCGATGAGGGGAGGAGGCGCAACAGGGGAGGGGTTAAACGCGCGAAGGCCCGCCGATGCCTTTGTTGGCACACGAGTGCTTCATTTACTATGCAAAGAAACTGAAGTCTTGAGTCAATGACGAGAACGTCAGTTCTTCATTTTTCAAATTCATTTTTTCTGCTCATTTGCAATTTTTCAATTTTTTGTCAATTTTTTAAATTGTTTACTTCATTTTTTCTATTTATTTTTTTAATTTTTCACTTCTTTGTTTATTTTTTACTTCATTTTTTATTGTTTACTTTATTTTGTTTACTTTTTCTACTAATGGTTTAATTGTTTAAACATTTTTATTAATTTATTTTTTATTGTTTACTTCGTTTTTTCCATTCATTTTTTCTTGTTCACTTCATATTGTTTATTTTTTTTTTGTTACTATCTGATAGAGGAAGATCGCTGATATGCATTCTCATGTTTTGGGAAGTCTTTTTATTTGATTGTCAAGGTATCGCAGTCCATCGACTCCAAACACGAGTACACGATTCATCGTGTCTCATCTCCTTCCTAAAATAACGAGTCGACGATAATAGAACTAGGTGGAATGAACTGTCAGCAAAACCCAATGCACTTTTACCCCAAATAACACTTTCATCACGAATATCATTTCCAAATACTTAATACTTGGAACGTAATATCCGAACTCCATAAAAAATTGTGAGAAATCCTCTGAAAACAAGTTTTCAACGTGGGAAAGGTGAAAGTAGTGAATATTATAGTTTAAGGGTCAAACAGCCTTGGGGGTCAGACGGAAGAGGCGAACAAAGTGATGAGAAGAATCAAATTTTCTTAAAGGTCACATGAGAGCGAGAGGTGAGAGGGTCAAAAGAATCAAAATTATGCCACGAAATCAGGGTTTGAGGTTTTCCTGAAACTGTCTTCACTTCGACCTTCAAAAGTACTTTTTACAGTACTTTAACCTTCAAAAGTACTTTGACAGTACTTTTGTCTTGAAAATTACTTCCCTAGTACTTAAGCATCCAAAGCAAATTTTGCACCGCTTTGATCCACAAAATTGCATTCATAGTACTTTGACTTCCAAAGTCCGTGTTGTAGTACTTTGACCCGCAAAATTACTTCCACACTAGAAGTACATTAATAGTGCTTCGTCGGCCAAAGTACCTTTTGTAGTATTTTGTCCCTCAAAATCACCTCTATAGTACTTTGACACTCTAAATGACATTTGCAGTACTTTGTCATCCAAAAGTACTTTAACGCGTTCCTGCCTTCAAAAGTATATTTGGTGATACTTCGACCTCCAAAAGTACTTTACATCATTGCAGCACCCAAAAGTACACATGTAATTTTAACGCTCAAAGTACTTTTATAGTACTTTGGAATTCATGAGTACCTTTTATAGTACTCTGTATCCCTAAGGTACATTTTCTAGTACTTTGGAATATAGATGTTGCCTTTAGAGTACTCAAAACCCCCAAAGTACATTTTATAGTACTTTGCTATTCAAATCATCTACAAGTAGTACTTTATGGTACATATGACTTTGACTTGTCTTCTGGGTCGAACGGGTTACAGAAAAATTAATCGAAAGCATCATTTGACCCTCAAATTCAAACGTCTTCAAGGGTCGTTTGACCCTCAGAACTACTTGACCCTTCATCATTTTTTTGAGTAGTAGAATTAAAAAACAAAGGTATCTGAATTTTGCTCTAGATTCATTTTTAGCTGCCGTTCCACTTGGCAAAATGTTATCAATGTCATGAAAATTGTCTTCAAATATTCCCATTAATTTTATAATTTACCTGGCTATCCCTAAGGTTTCCCAAACGCACCCCCCGTCCCCAGAAAAAATCATAGAAAATTTTTTTTAAACGTAAAAAATCAGTTTATTGACATCTCCTTCTCTTCACAATTCTCCCCAATCATTGAACCTCTCGACTGAAATTGTTAAGGTCCTTGAGAGCATTGTCAGAGCCCATGGGGAAGGCCTCGTAGTTGCAGATGGTGACCCCATGCCTGTGTCCAGGTGTCCACTCACCCTTGAGCCCAATGTAATCGATCCTAGTGGTCTCAGCTCCTGAATTTCCAACGAAATGCAGACTCAGATGGTGGACTGACGAGAACTTGACGACCCTGCGTCATTACCACGAGTCATTACCATCAATTATCGGGTAAAGACTAATTCTGATGTGTCGTGATGATTATTTTTTGTCCCAGAAATATTTTTTAAAGCGATGTGACGAGAGGTTTCAGGTTTGAAGTGGCGAAAATGAGAGATGAATAGGGTGAGGGGATGGAGCAAAATTGAAATTTAGCAAAATTGAAGAATTTTTTCCGTTTTTAGTTGAGGGTCAAATGGTTTTGGAGGTCAAACGACCTTCAGTGACCTTCGGGGCTGCGGGTCAAATGGCTGTAAGGGTCAGCGGATAATCAAGGACGTTTGGAATTGAGAGTTAAATTGTCTTGAGGGGAAAATGACCCTTGCAGACGTGTAGATTTAAGGGTCAAACGACCCTCAAAGATCTTTAACGCCATTTGACCCTTAAATTTACACCTCTTCAAATGACGTTAAACGTCCTTAAGGGTCCTCTGACCCTTACGTTCATTTGACGTTTAATTCTAAACGTCCGGAGATCATTCAAGGGTCGTTTGACCCTCGAGACCATTTGACCCTCAACTAAAAAAAAGATTTCTTGAATTGCACTAGGTAGTCGATTTTTCTTGTACTTCATTTTGCCCCACTATTTCAGAATCAAAGTTTTGAGGGTCAAACGACCTTTAATGACGTTCTGAGTTGAGGGTCAAATGGTCTTAAGGGTCAAAAAATCCTTAACAACGTTTACCATTAAGTGTCAAATAGTCTTCCGGGGGAACGGGTTAGAGCCGAGGGATTAAAAAGGGTCATTTGACCCTTAACTCATAAAGATTTCAAAGCCCATTTGACCCTCACGTCCATTTGACCCTCAACTAAAAAACAAAAAATAGTTTTAGGAGTTATGCTAGGTAATCGTTTTTCATGGGACTTCATTTTGTCTCGCTGTTTCAGGATTGAAAAGTTTTGAGGGTCAAACGACCTTCAAGGACATTCGCAGTTGAGGGTCAAAAGGCCTTAATAGTCAAACAGCCCTTAAGAACGTTTACGATTAAGGTCAAATGGTATCAGGGGATTAAACAGATTAGAGTAATAAAAAAGGGTCATTTGACCCTTAACTCTAGACGTCTTCAAGGGTCAGTTGACCCTTAATTCTAGACGTTTTCAAGGGTCATTTGACCCTTATTTCTAAACGTCTTCAAGGGTCATTTGACCCTTACGTGAACTTGACCCTTAACTAAAAAAAAAGTTCTTTACAAAAAAACCCTAACATTATCCCCTGAACACAGCTCCATCTCTTTTTCCACTAGCTCGTTCTAACCAGTTGAGTAAGTGGTCGCGTGTGTCGACATGTTTTTATTCCTCGTCTCCACGTGGGCGCGTGGGCGTCATCACGACGCCCACGCGCACGTGTCATCCGAGAATTATTTATACTGCCGTCGAAACGCGTAGATTATTGCACCCCAGAGAGAGTTATGAATATCAATTTCAGCGAATTGAACAATCTCTTTTTACTGGGTCTTCATAACTCCCACACTTCGTATGACATTTCGACTCATCCGATTTCATTTCAAAGCCCGGAAAATTCCCCATCAATTCATACTACCAACAACCGGTTTTGCCCCGGTGGACAATTGAATTTTTTTTATAAATAAATATAGCTATTGTTGCTAATAAATTAGCAACAGACTTCCAAATGGGTTCTTTTTTTTTAATTCTTATTTCACTATTCTCTCCTTTTATTTTTTCATGTCATAGTACTGTCATCAATTGAAATGTCATCAAAATTTTGCAGAGTATTTCGTTCTGTCAAATAATTCTCCATTCAGACCCTCTCAAGACTCGAATTCGTTTTCAGTCCGGGATTAATCAAGGTTTAATCAGTGTATAGCCGGTATTTAATCAGGGTTTATTCAGGATTTAGCCAGAGTTTAACCCAGGTTCTGTCAGAAGTTAGTCGGGACCATGAATCAATATGAATAAGTATTCAACATAATAGACTGCTACCTGAGTTTAATAGAGATAGTGATTTTTATATAAAAAACTCATGACGGTATTGTGTAACTTGATAAGCAATGATGCTGTTCTCACCATTTTTCAACTTGATTAAGAAACCATTGAAATATACTTTTCAAGCCCTGATTTAATTGCTATTACTGATGATTCTTTCAGTAATCATGAAAAAACCCATTTTCTATTTCAAATCGCATAAACAATGTGCTGTAACTCAACAACCAATTGTGCGACCCCCATCATATCCTGATAGAATCAAGAGGGTATTGTTATCAATTTTTTAAGCCATCACTAATTCCATTTTGATGAGAATTTTTTGAGTAATCGTTGAAAAATCAATTTTTGGAAAAATATCAATTTTCTCGAATCTATGAAAAATTGAATTTTAATTGGTGTCAATGAATAGAGAGTTTATTGAAGTATAAAAATCGCATATTCGGACTTTGTAAAATCTCAGAATTTAAAAGAATGTGAGATCTCTTCTAAAAGAATTTCCACAGCAATTGTAATTTCACCAATGGATTTAGGATTTATGAGGCTGCCTGCCTTGGCATAAAAACAGGTGAAGGATTCAAATGTGAATCGTGAACTCACTTGATTGGGTACTCGTGCACTCCGTGATCGTCCTTTACGAGTTCAAACTCCTGATCTGGAGTGATGCCTACGTCGTCGAAGGTCATATGCTCTTTATTTTTGAACCTTGAATGAAACATCATTAATTGAACTCAATGATCATTTCCCATTGATTGAAACGAATTATTTAATTTATTGGAAATACTCACAATTTGACTTTTGCCGGGTGAGAGCCCTCAGGACCACCGATTATTATTATCCCTTTCAATTTCACATTTCCTGTGAATCTGAAAACAGGGAGAATGAAGTGGATCAATTAAAAGTTAATTTATGACTCGATAAATTGATAAATTGTATCAAATAATAACCGAAGACTTGAAAAATTCCGTAATTGACTCAATAAAGAATTTAATTAATACAAAAATAAAATTCATTTGAGAATAGAATGAATCATTTGAAAACCCCTCATTACCAGGATAATTTCACATTTCACATAAGATTATAAATTATCCTGAATAATCAATGAAATAGGGGCATGAAGAAATGAAAGAGAAAAGAGTGCGATACGTAAGTGACTGCATGTGTGATGCAAAAAGGCAATAATCAAAGACTTGGAAAATTCATTAATCGATTCAATAAAAATTCAATTGATACAAAAATAAAATTTATCTGGGAATAAAATGAATAATTAGTCATTTTATATGAATGATATGAGTCTATATATTCAGTCTCACTCGTTAACAGGTGATTTTAGGAAGAAATATAAGAATGAGACCCTTTTTGTAGAGAATTTAATTCCCAACAAAGAATGTCTCTCAGCATTCTCTTCTGAAAGCCCTCATTACCAGGATAATTTCACATTCAACATAAGATTATAAATTTTCCTGAATAATCAATGAAATAAGGGCATGAAGAAATGAAAGAGAAAAGAGTGCGATACGTGAGTGACTGCATGTGTGAGGCAAAAAAGGCAATGAATCAGATCAGAAAGACCAAATAGAGACGATAGGTTTGAGATTGAGTTTATGGAACTGAGGTGTGATATGACAAGTGTTTGGAGCGAGTGACTGTTTGTAAAATAATAATGTTTATGCTAGATGGAGGTTTTGGGTGATGCGTGTGGCCTGGGTGACGGAATGCAAGAGATTATTGTGGCTGACAAAGAGTATGGAGAATGAGTGTAGCTGCGAGGGAGAGAGTGCTAGGTAACGAAGAAAGTAATTAGAGTATGCTGAGATGAGAGAGTTTGGGAATGAGTCAGTGTTCGATGAGGAGAGCTAGAGACAAGATCGAGAGCAATTATCATCATTATCGATGCACAAAGTCTGTGTGATTCTCATCCCTGTGACTTTATACTTCATCCAGTTGTATTTCCAATCGCGTTCAACCATATTTGTCATCAAACCAATGAGCACATTGTATTCAATTCAACTCGACCCTTGAAAATACTTACGGAATATTGAAAAGGAGTTCATCATCGACGTCACTCTCCACGAACTGCAACAAAAAAAAAAGTGATAAAACCTAAAAAATGAAATTAATTCTAAACAAACGTTTGGAGATCTTTGTTGGATAAATGAAGATAGAAATAAGGAATTACCTTGTCGTGGTTCAGACGCTCCTCCCAAGGCTTGAAGACTTTGATCCCAGCTCCATCCTCAGACTCGTTGAGGCACTCAGCCCCAGTCGTATCAATTTTCTCGAACAAATTGTACTGAACCCCTAGTTCTGCTGTAGAATGAGAGCTTCCACAGTTGCACTGATGCTCCATCTCTTCTAGAAACAACAAAAACCTTCAACTCCAACAACTCCACCAATTACTATTGTTCAATTATCTCGGCAATAACGGGTCTGACGAAAAAACATGAAAAAACATTTTTCATAGAAAATTTAACGATCTAAAAAAAAGATCTTCTGATGTTTTCCTCTAAACTCACTAGTTCCTGAGATATTTCCGAAAATAGGTGTGAAAAATCGCTCCACAGAATTTTTTGTAATTCATAGTTGTTCAGACGATTACTCCAATTGTTTACTCAAATAATAAACAGAAAGAATATGTTTGAAGGTAATTATCGTTTTGAAATGATGCATTAAATGTTCAAAAATACGTCTGTTGTTCTAAAACTGCAGAATCATCTGAGACGAAAAGGTTAAACTCTGAATGAGAATCTTTGAAATCGCCGGATTGTTGCTAATTATTTCGGAATTTCTGTTTTTCACCTTCTGAGGGTCTGACTGGACTCCAGGGGCAGTTACTATCAATTATTTGTGGACAATTCCACGCTTATGACGAAGTTTCTGGCCGCAGAACGTTTTTTTTTACGCTTTTGACAGTGTTACGAGACTCAGGCGCCATCTGAAGCCAAAAAAATCAACTTCTCGGTTTGAAAAGATGAAATAATGAGAGAGAAGAAATGAAGAATCGAAATCAATTTGCAATTTTCAATTTTTTTATTGTTATTATTATTTATTGTAAACAAAATTCAGTTGTACAATTTTTGAGACATTGAATTAATTATTAACAACTAAATAAGAGAATTAATTTATCCACAACACCCTCTTAAAATTACAAATTAAATCTCGGATTCTGTAATGTCAAGGTAATTTCAACGTTCATGTATTTTTTGTTCTCATTTGATCAACAAAGTGGTAAAATTGTTCGAGTGAAACGTGATGTCTTGTTGGGGGTGAATTTATCTCGGTAATGGGTGGACTTACGACAAAATGCGATTCGACATTTTTTGTTGTTTGTTAAATTCTGGACATATATGATTTATGACATTTTTTTGTAAACCTACTCATTAGTGAGATAATTCAACAATTAACAATTGAGAATGAAGTCGAGTGAAGCATGGCTACTTGGGGCAGGTCAGGAATTTTCTTTGTTCTAAGTTGAGGGTCAAGTGGTCGTGAGGATCAAATGACTCTTAAGACGTTGAAGGTCAAATGGTTTCAAGGGTCAAATGACCCTCCAAATCATTTTTGACCCTCAAAACCATTTGGTTCTTTCAGTCGAGGGTTAACTGGTTTTGAGGGTCAAACCCTTAAGAAGTTGAAGGTCAAATTGTCTTAAGGGCAAATTATCTTAAAGGTATGCTATCTAAACACCCTGATTTAATTCACTCGACCGTCAGGACCATCTGACCCTCATAAGGTTTTTTAACCCATTTGAGGTTTTTAAGGGTTGCTCGACCTTCAACTCCAAACGTTCGTAAAGATTTTTTGACCCTCAAAACCATTCGATTTCTAATTGAGGGTTAACTGGTCTTGAGGGTCAATTGACCCATAAGAAGTTGAAGGTCAAATTGTCTTAGGGTTCAAATGACCCTATCTAATCGCCCTGCTTGACCCTCAACTCCAAATGTTCTTAAAGATTTTCTGACCTTCTAAACGATTTGATTTTTGGTTGAAGGTCACCTGGTCTTGATGGTCAGACGACCCCTGAGTAGATGAGGGTCAAATGACCTTCATTGACCCCTTGACAACGGCTATTTGACACTCAATTCCAAACGTCCTTAACTCTTAAGTGGTCACGTTTTTCTAGCATCTCACTCTACAGTGACGCCCTATAGGTTCCGTATGGTTTGGCGGGGATTCCCTCACGATGCGACCCCTTGAGGGTTAAGAGTCCTTTGACCCTTAAAATCATTTGGTCCTGTTGAAGGTCAAATGGTTCTAAGGGTCACACTCAAAGACCTATAGAATTAAAAACAACCCTTAATGATGTTCGGGACTGAGGGTCAAATGGTCAAACGACCCTTGAGGACATTCAGAGTCGAGGGGCAAATGAACTGAGGACCTGTAGGATTGAGGGTCAAATGACCCTCTCTGACCCCTTGACAAGGGCTGTTTGACCCTCAATTCCAAGCGTCCTTAAGGGTCGTTTGACCCTTATTTGATCTTGAAACTGTTAGGGTCAAATGATTCCCACGGTCAAACTCAAAGAGCTTGATTTTTGGGGCTGAGGGTGAAATGATCAAACGACCCTTAAGAATGTTTGGAGTTGAAGGTCAAATTATCTTAAGGAGCACATGAACCTTGAAGACATGTAGGATTGAGGGTCAAATGACCCTCTCTGACCCCTTGACAAGGGCTGTTTGACCCTCAAAACCATTCGATTTCTAATTGAGAGTTAACTGGCCTTGAGGGTCAATTGACCCATAAGAAGTTGAAGGTCAAATTATCTTAAGGAGCAAATGAACCTTGAAGACATGTAGGATTGAGGGTCAAATGACCCTCTCTGACCCCTTGACAAGGGCTGTTTGACCCTCAAAACCATTTAGCCCTCAACTCCAGCCTTCTCAAGGGTCATTCAACCCTCAACTAAAAACAGAAAAAATTCCCTGAGTCATCTAAATAGTAGAGAATTAAATTCTCAAAAAAAAATGCCCTTGGCATTTTCGTCTAACTGTTCCACCAGTTCTCACAACCTCAATAAAAATCCCCTCCCCCCCCACAAATTCCTGTTCACCATGAGGTACTTGACAATTGTCACCAGTTCATATTTACACCATTTGGTATTAACCAGTCGAGCCTCGACTGTAGCTGCACAAACCATATATACATAACATGACAATACACCTATTCATCTCCCATTTGACATTGAAAAATTAATAAGCCTGAAAACAGTGTCGCAACTGACGACGCGTGGTCGACAGACTCATGTCTTCAGGGAAAAGGAACTAATGCACTTTTATCTGGATATTTTCCGCTTGATTGATACAATCAATCAGTCGCAATAAAAATGTTTATTTCTCTCAATTAATTCATTAAAAAAATCATCACTCTGCATTTATTATTTGGTGAACGACATCTCCAGGGATTCCCGGTCTGGGAAGAGCATTTGAATGTGGTTGTCGATTATTTGGAACAGCTCTGGAGGCTGGGGCACTCTTCCTGTTTCCAATTTCGACCAGACTGGAACATCTGGACAGTTAGAAAACCAGAATAAATTGGAAAATTGTTTTTAAAAAATATTAAAATTATTAAGGGTTGGAATAATATTTTTTTAGATATTTGCAGAAATGAAAAAAAAATTGTCAATATTTTTTTGATGATTTTATCATTTGTTTTCAATTATTTTTAATTCAATAATTTCTCATTTTGACTAGACTCAAACATCTGGACATTTGGAAAACCAAAATAAATTAAAAAATCGCTTTAAAAAAATATTAAAATTATTAAGGGTTGAAATAATATTTTTTAAATATTTGCAGAAATGAAAAAAAAATTGTCAATATTTTTTTGATGATTTTATCATTTGTTTTCAATTATTTTTAATTCAATAATTTCCTATTTCGACCAGACTGGAACATCTGGACATTTAGAAAACCAGAATAAATTGGAAAATTGTCTTAAAAAATTATTAAAATTATTAAGGGTTGAAATAATATTTTTTAGACATTTGTAGAAATGAAAAAAAATGGTCAACATTTTCTTGATAATTTTTATCGTTCATTTTTAATTTTTTTTCGAAATAAATAAATTAAATTTGTTTGATAAAATTGAATGTTATCATTTAAAAAAATTATTGACGCGTGGAAATGATAATAATGTGTACAATAATTGTTTAAAAATGGAGAAAGACGTGAAAACCTTTTTTTTGTGTAAAAAGTAGATTTGGTGTTGATTTTTTTATTTTTTTTCTCTTGATTTTCATTTTTTTAAAGACAAACAATGTGAATAGAAATGTTTTTAGAGGTTTGGGGTATCGAATAAAGTGTACGAACCATTAAAATGAATTTCAAAAGCTCCAGAGGATATCAATTGTCCCTCGATGGCATTGCAAACAAAGAAAATCATAATGCAGGCGTAAAATTTGTTGTTGAGGCACCACTCCCACCAGAAGGGCTGCTGCTGCTGGCCCAGCCATTGAGTTATGTTTATGCCGGATATTATGAGGAGAATAATAAGGATTTTCGCAGTTCCCTATGAAGATATAACAGAAAAAACAATTATTATGAACATTTCTTCGCTGGAATAGTGAAGTCTCACATTTTAGTGCAGACTATTTTGTGAATATCTTGGAAACTAAGAGGTTTAGTGCAAAATGTCCCTCAATAAATCTCGATAAACCCCTTCTCTTCAAAGATATTTCCCAATCAGGATGAAAAATTCAGTGGAATTACCAAAAATTTAGCGAGTAACATGTTATAACCCGGAGGATCATAATTTTCTCCATAAATCTGAAGCTCTGGATATTTCTGTCTTAAGATACTGGCGTACTCCTCGAAAACTCTCTTGTATCCACAGGAGTAGCTGAAAAAACAATTCCAAGATTAATAAACAAATCAGTCCTTTGCTGGAACAGGAAAAGTCAATTTCACTTTAGAACAGATCAGTTTTTGTCGATTATCTGGGAATCCAAGAAAGATATCGAAATTTTTGTGGGAACCTCTTTTACGGAGCTGAGTGAGATCTACAAAAATGGTCCTCATCAAAATTTCGATATCTCCCTTCAATTCCGAGATATTCTCCAAAAACTGATTGTCTCGCTGGTTCACTCCACCGAGTCAATGATTCATTTTTTTATGACAGTTTTTGATGAATGTCTTCGAATCTATGGGAGATGACGGAATTTTCGTGAGGACCTTTTCCGTAGGGCTGAGGGAAATCTACAAAAAATGTCATTATCAAAATCTTGATATCTCCCTTAGATCAAGAGATATTCATCAAAAAATCATCCTGAATTGATTCTTCATTTTCTAATTCAGGAATATGGAAGCAATGTTGGAGCAATGCGGTGTGCAAACATGAACTGCTATGCTCTCATGCTCTCTGATGATCCTCTGAGCTGGACGACACCCTGGACCTGTGAAAAATGCGACCAAAAGGTTTCATCCCGCCAGGTGAAGCATAAAAAAATCTTTCAGTCTCCTCTCTTCGATCTTACGATTGCGGATTATTTTCACGTATTGTTCTTCAACTTTTGCTTTGATTTCTGTTCTGAAGATTAAGGCAATAATCTCGGGAATTGGCTCCGTCATAAATACGTATCTGTACGAATTCCCTCGAGACATTCTCAAATTCGTGAGGGGAGAATTGAAAGGTCTCGTTCCAGAGATGAATAGCTCGATGTTACAAATGAAGTATCGAATTGTCTCGTATTTCGGGAGAACTGAAGGACTTCATTTCACAGGTATCAAGACCCCAAACATATCAGACAACTCAAGAAGAACATGAAGTAATGCAATTATTTTATACATCACAAATCAACTTGAATTGAAAAAATTTCTATCCAACAAATATCACTCAATTCATTATCTCTCCACCAAATCAATCATCAAAAACCATTAGAAGACCCCATTCTGCCCCCTCCCACCAGAACTTAACCTAAGAAAGAAAGGAAACCCCTAAAATTTCATTTTCACCAAAACAAGCTCAAGAATTCACCCCAAAATTCGAAATGAGCACTCACCAATAGAAGAACTTGATGGTGGGTCCAGTTTTGGACCCGAATTTCGTCAGAGATATCTCCTCATCATCTCCAACCACCACCTTGGTTCCAACGAAGCAGACAATCAACAAGACCCCCAGACTCAGCCTCAAGGACCCCATGACCCCCCAAAAAATCTAAAAAAAATACTGAACACTTCCCCAACAGCAATCGCACATCCGACCTTGTTCTCCTACCCTCTCGGCGAAGATTCGACTATTTTCCCCGTGAACACAAGCCCAATGTTCATATCATCGAGAAATATTCCACTGATTGTGGATTTCCAGTGTTGCCAGGTGTCACACTGCGCGCATTTGCCGGTCGTGATCAGTGTTATGTGTGATGTCTTGACGCTGATTTTGATGGTTGGTAGCAATGATCAGCCATCTTTGTCCGCGATATTCAAATTAATATAAAAATTTAATTAAATAACGTAAAATCTTTAAATACTGAGAAAAGTCGAGAATGAAAGGACAATGAACAGGGGACGAAAAACAACTTCGCAGGCGTGAGAAAAACCGTTGCCGGAAATAATAAATGTCAAGTACTTGAGTTTACTTCGTAAATTTACAGCTCTCCAAAATTCCTCAAAACAATACTTTTCTTGAAATTCTGAAATATAGAGAGAAAATAAACTCGACGGTTACGGTCGTAAAATTGTTAAGTCTCGGTTCTGAGATATTTAGAAAGTCTCTCTGATTCACGTGTTCCACACGTGTTGAGTGTTGAGTTCTCCTTTGTTCATTGTATCGCGGAGCTGAAGGGCCTGAGACCCCTCAAGAGGGAATACTGTTGACGTCACACGCTCCCCTTTCTCCCTCTTTCGCTTCCCGATTTCTCTTTTAAGTTACCCCTCTTCCCTTTACTCCGGGCCAAGATTGCGCGCGCAACTTTTGGTCTAGTGGGGGTGTATGGACCCAACCCTTAGATTTTTAGTTTAAGTTAGAGACAGTCCCATCGTGGCTGTTGTTCCGACAACTGTTCCAGCTTCTCTCTTCGATTAGTTTTTCTTAAAGTTTTCCATAAAAGTTTTATCAAGTGTATTTGTCTACCAAAGATTTCAAGTTTAAATTAGAAGTTTGAAATAAATAGTGTTAATGTGCTCTCCTAAGCACTAGTGTTTTGATTTATTCTGGAATACACCTTCAACCCATTTATTCAAAAAATGAACGAGTCAACATCGATGGAGTCCTCATCAGAGGTTTAGCGGCTAACGGATCCACATTTCGAAGTTTGGCGCTCGTTATTTCAAAAAGGCGCCACTGTCCTCCTAGTAACATTGATAGGACATAACAATTACCGATTTGGTGACTTTGTCACTAATCTGGTGTTTTTAGATAACAAGATCTTGCGCACGCTCTCGCGCGCGCTGATCTATTCATTTTTTGAAATGAAGAAATGGAATTCATTGAATTTCATTTTCTCATGAATACCTTATAAATATTGATAATGAATCAAAGAGAATTCGACTAATGATTGAAGTGAATAGCGAAGTAGAGTAAAAGAATCTATAAAGAATTTTTCATTTTCAATTAATTATCTTCAATTTTTTTAAATGATCGGTCTCCATAAAAGGACAGAATTTATTAATTTCACCGATGATATATATATAGCGAATTGGTAAACTAGGATAAGTGCATTTCAACTGAGGACAATTATCAAGCNATATCTTCAATTTTTTTAAATGATCGGTCTCCATAAAAGGACAGAATTTATTAATTTCACCGATGATATATCTGTAGCGAATTGGTAAACTAGGATAAGTGCATTTCAACTGAGGACAATTATCAAGCGATATCTCGTAAATAAAAACAGATATCGAAATTTTTATTAGAATCTTTTTTGTAGAGGGAGATGTGGGCTACAAAAAAGTTTCTGACAAAAATTTCGATATCTGTTTTTATTTACGAGATATCGCTTGATAACTGTCCTCAGTTGAAATGCACTTATCGTAGTTTACCAATTCACTACAGATATATACACGTGAAATATATATTATATATATATATATATGACGTGAAAAAAAAATTTCCCACTGAAGAATTTGAAATTATGTCACTGAAGAATTTGAAAATGCCGCGTGTTTTTTTTTGTGAATAACTTCGTGTCACATATTGACCAATCAGAATTAAGGATTAGCGGTCAGGCAGTTTCGAGATATTTCGATATAAAACAACTTCACGTTTCTTTCATCTTTAGGGTGGGTTTTCACTCGTAGCGGACAGTTAGAGATGCAAAATGACCGTCATTTTTTACATCGCGTCATATGACCAAAAAATGACGGTCATGTGACGCACAAATTTTCCAACTACAAATGATTGTCACAAATCATTTGTAACCAAATTGTTGTCGAACCATCTATATAGTTGCATAATGACGGTCATAACTAATTTCCAATTTGTGACGGTCATGAATAAAACAAAATAGTTTCATCTATATGGATGGAAAAAAAACGGGATTTCCATTTCAAAATGCGAATTAGGCCAGTACAAAAGGAATTCAACTGAAAATTGACCGAGAAAAAAATAAAGTTTCATCTATGTAGATGAAAAATGACTGTCATTTTTTCTTGACAAGTTGNTTGTCAAACCATCTAGTTGCATAATGACGGTCATAAATAATTTCCAATTTGTGACGGTCATGAATAAAATAAAATAGTTTCATCTATATGGATGGAAAAAAAAACGTGATTTCCATTTCAAAATACGGATTAGGCCAATACAAAAGGAATTCAACTGAAAATTGACCGAGAAAAAATAAAGTTTCATCTATAATGAAAAATGACTGTCATTTTTTCTTGACAAGTTGCGACGGTCACAGAAGGGGATGGGGAATTATGACACCCGTCACGAACGCCTCGTCATGTGACCGTCAATGACGGTCACATGACCGTCATATGACGGGTCATGTGACGCATTTGCATCTCTAGTCGCTGTGATTTGCGGACTGTCCGCTACGAGTGAAAACCCACCCTAACCCGAGCCGGCGGCAACACTGGTCGTGACGGCGCCATTTTCGAAACAGAATTGCTCCGAAAGATCATTTGAGAGCATTTCCACCCGCAGAATCCCAAAATGATCGCCTAAAGCCCCAAAGAGAGTGGAAAACCGTGAAAATGTGGACTTCGAAGGTCAGGCTATTCTTCCCCCGCAGCATTTCTGTCAGAAAAATGGGTAATTACGATTATTTTTTGGTGTTGGGGGCTGTGGAGGCCCTGGGGGAGAGGTTTAACCTAGAAGTTATGCTGGAAATGTTTTTTTCCGGGGGTTTTAGCTACTGTGAAGAGGTTCTACAGGAGAACTAATATTCTGGGCAGCGGGGACAGGTTCGAGATCACTTTGGACCAGAGGAAGCTGAAGACCCCCAAGGGGAATGTCTTCGAGGTGGCCAGCAAACCTCTGGCTCTGGCTGTCGCTATGGAGTGGGAGAGCCAGGAGGATACCATCAACAGGAGCAATATGCATCTGGTAATTACATTAAGGCCCGGGTGTACTATCTTTCGAACGTTATCACGATGTTTTTCTTTATCTTTCGTCATCTGAAATTGTCAATTAAGTCCTGCATCATGCAGAAGTTTTGAAAAATTATGAATGAATAATCAAAAAAAAGTAGAAAAAATTCTTAATTTCTTCAAAGAGCATTTTTAATTTATATTCAGAATAAGTGGAATAACAAGAAATTGAAAAATGTATCTGATTTACGGTGACAAATGGCGGCCTGTCACCCAATATCATGCAGGGGGAAGACTGATTTCGTAAATCTTTTCCCACACTGCACAGAGACATTTATTACGGAAAAGGCTCTTTGAAAAAAGTTGTAATATTTTGGAGAATTTTTTAATCACACTTTTATCACATAAAAATGGCAGATGACTACATACCACTGTTTTGAAAATTGAGATACCTAGCTGTCACTTCCCATGAGGAGTTAGTGGTTTGTTATCCACCATGGAAAATGACAGCTAATAGATAATTTGCCATAGCGAATCAGATATTTGTAATTTCCACTTTTTTCAACTCATGCTGAATCTCAATTAAAAACGCTCTTTGAAAAAGTTCAGAATTTTTTCAATTTTTTTAATCATTCTATCATATTTTTTGGGAATTTCTACATGATGTACGACTCAATTGACGATTTTGGATTACGAAAGATAAAAAAAATCCAGATAACATTCGAAAGATAGTACACCCGGGCCTTAAAAGAAAATATTAGGAAACATTTTTAGTAGAAAAGAAAAGAGGAATATTTCGTGGAATTTCTGTATTTTTTATTCGATAATTCACCTCGAATCCTGTCCAAGTGAAGTTTAACCCTTCCAGATCGTTTATTTGGAAAGATCATTTTATGATCTGGAAAATCATCAAAATTAGTTTCTCTCGCTCTAATTTAACATGAATGAATAATAGCCATTCAACCATCTTCATTTATTATTAATTTTTTAAAGAATTATCAATGATTTCTATTTCTTTTATCATTACATTTTGTCTATCGTAGGATCACCTTGGACATAAGGAATTCAATAAAAAATGTCCTTCGGTATTTCACCCTGAAATGCCTCATTATCGTACTCATCACATAAAAAAGTGAATCTCATTCGAATCTTTCTCCTTTCCATCACTAATTATTAATAATTTTTTTTCAGACAGCTCTCTGCAGTACTTTATTAGACAATCCCCACCAGCACAGTAGAATGGACATCGTCAACTACATCTCAAACTATCTAGAAACAGACACTGTTTTATTCCAGTCAGACGTGAGTGAAAAACGATCATCATCTCCAACTCATTTCAATAATTCACGAATTCACGAGTTAATTTATCGCCTAGGACACAGAAGAGTTATTCCAAATGCAAACGGAGAAGTGGGATCCGATAATCCAGTGGTTCTGCGACAAGTACCAGGTCGACATCACAAAGACCACCAGCATTAGCCCCCCCATCATTCCTCAACAGACCAAGGAGACTTTGACGAGGCATTTTGCTTCTTACGATTATCCAGCGTTAATAGGTAATGAAGAAATAAAACTAATATAAACTAAATAAATTACATTAATTAATATAATAAATAATAAATCATAATAAATAATAATAATTTTAGTTCACTAAATAAATATGATGAAATTAAATCAATAAATATAATCAAATAAATAATAAATAATGATAATAAAATAATAGTAAATAATGCAATGAACAGAATAAATGCTAGAATAAACAATTGGATCGAGTTGACTGAGAAAACTTGTTCTAGGGTTCATGTATGGAGTTGATGTTCTCAAGTCAGTGATTTTGATGATGGCTGTCTGCGAGAGGTTCATCAATGTGCAGAATGCTGTCAGTCTAGCTAGATTAGAGGAAGAATTTCAAGTGAGTAATTAACTTCAAATCTTGTATCATCCATCGGGGCAAAGGGGTTCATCATACAAAAATAAAATTTGTCTGGAAATAAAATGAATAATTAGCCATTTTATATGAATGATATGAGTCTATATATTCAATCTCACTCGTTAACAGGTGATTTTAGGAAGAAATATGAGAAAAAGACCTTTTTGTAGAGAATTTAATTCCCAACAAAGAATATCTCTCAAAATTCTCTTCTGAAAGCCCTCATTACCAGGATAATTTCACATTCAACATAAGATTATAAATTTTTCTGAATACTCAATGAAAGAAGGGCACGAAGAAATGAAAGAGAAAAGAGTGCGATATGTGAGTGACTGTATGTGTGAGGCAAAAAGGCAATAATCAGACTTGGAAAATTCATTAATCGATTCAATAAAAATTCAATTGATACAAAAATAAAATTATCTGGGAATACAATGAATAATTAGCCATTTTATATGAATGATATGAGTCTATATATTCAATCTCACTCTTTAACAGGTGATTTTAGGAAGAAATATGAGAAAGAGACCCTTTTTGTAGAGAATTTAATTCCCAACAAAGAATATCTCTCAACATTCTCTTCTGAAAGCCCTCATTACCAGGATAATTTCACATTCAACATAAGATTATAAATTTTCCTGAATACTCAATGAAAGAAGGGCACGAAGAAATGAAAGAGAAAAGAGTGCGATATGTGAGTGACTGTATGTGTGAGGCAAAAAGGCAATAATCAAAGACTTGGAAAATTCATTAATCGATTCAATGAAAATTCAATTGATACAAAAATAAAATTTATCTGGGAATAAAATGAATAATTAGCCATTTTATATGAATGATATGAGTCTATATATTCAATCTCACTCGTTAACAGGTGATTTTAGGAAGAAATATGAGAAAGAGACCCTTTTTGTAGAGAATTTAATTCCCAACAAAGAATATCTCTCAACATTCTCTTCTGAAAGCCCTCATTACCAGGATAATTTCACATTCAACATAAGATTATAAATTTTCCTGAATACTCGATGAAATAAGGGCACGAAGAAATGAAAGAGAAAAGAGTGCGATATGCGAGTGACTGTATGTGTGAGGCAAAAAGGCAATAATCAAAGACTTGGAAAATTCATTAATCGATTCAATGAAAATTCAATTGATACAAAAATAAAATTTATCTGGGAATAAAATGAATAATTAGCCATTTTATATGAATGATATGAGTCTATATATTCAATCTCACTCGTTAACAGGTGATTTTAGGAAGAAATATGAGAAAGAGACCCTTTTTGTAGAGAATTTAATTCCCAACAAAGAATGTCTCTCAACATTCTCTTCTGAAAGCCCTCATTACCAGGATAATTTCACATTCAACATAAGATTATAAATTTTCCTGAATACTCGATGAAATAAGGGCACGAAGAAATGAAAGAGAAAAGAGTGCGATATGCGAGTGACTGTATGTGTGAGGCAAAAAGGCAATAATCAAAGACTTGGAAAATTCATTAATCGATTCAATGAAAATTCAATTGATACAAAAATAAAATTTATCTGGGAATAAAATGAATAATTAGCCATTTTATATGAATGATATGAGTCTATATATTCAATCTCACTCGTTAACAGGTGATTTTAGGAAGAAATATGAGAAAGAGACCCTTTTTGTAGAGAATTTAATTCCCAACAAAGAATGTCTCTCAACATTCTCTTCTGAAAGCCCTCATTACCAGGATAATTTCACATTCAACATAAGATTATAAATTTTCCTGAATACTCGATGAAATAAGGGCACGAAGAAATGAAAGAGCAAAGAGTGCGATACGTGAGTGACTGCATGTGTGAGGCAAAAAGGCAATAATCAAAGACTTGGAAAATTCATTAATTGATTCAATAAAAATTCAATTGATACAAAAATAAAATTATCTGGGAATACAATGAATAATTAGCCATTTTATATGAATGATATGAGTCTATATATTCAATCTCACTCGTTAACAGGTGATTTTAGGAAGAAATATGAGAAAGAGACCTTTTTGTAGAGAATTTAATTCCCAACAAAGAATATCTCTCAACATTCTCTTCTAAAGCCCTCATTACCAGGATAATTTCACATTCAACATAAGATTATAAATTTTCCTGAATAATCAATGAAAGAAGGGCACGAAGAAATGAAAGAGCAAAGAGTGCGATACGTGACTGCATGTGTGAGGCAAAGAAGGCAATGAATCAGATCAGAAAGACCAAATAGAGACGATAGGTTTGAGATTGAGTTTATGGAACTGAGGTGTGATATGACAAGTGTTTGGAGCGAGTGACTGTTTGTAAAATAATAATGTTTATGCTAGATGGAGATTTTGGGTGATGCGTGTGGCCTGGGTGACGGAATGCAAGAGATTATTGTGGCTGACAAAGAGTATGGAGAATGAGTGTAGCTGCGAGGGAGAGAGTGCTAGGTAACGAAGAAAGTAATTAGAGTATGCTGAGATGAGAGAGTTTGGGAATGAGTCAGTGTTCGATGAGGAGAGCTAGAGACAAGATNCTTATGCTAGATGGAGATTCTGGGTGATGCGTGTGGCCTGGGTGACGGAATGCAAGAGATTATTGTGGCTGACAAAGAGTATGGAGAATGAGTGTAGCTGCGAGGGAGTGAGTGCTAGGTAACGAAGAAAGTAATTAGAGTATGCTGAGATGAGAGAGTTTGGGAATGAGTCAGTGTTCATCATTATCGATGCACAAAATCTGTGTGACTGTCATCCCTGTGATTTCATACTTCATCCAGCAGTATTTCCAATCAAATTCAATCATATTTGTTATCAACCCTTTGCAGATTTCACACTGGGGGAAAGTAGAGTGGTCCCACGACCTCAGTAAAAACGACCTCCAGGCTCGACTCTCAGCAGCTGTTTTATTCATCCACCTCAATACATCATCAGTAACATCGAAACCGAAGATGGAGAGCACGTGAATTGTAAATAATATTATAAAATCTAGACAAGTATAAAAACAGAATTATTGAACAGGTATTCGATTACTCAATTGTTCCCTAATGATTAGTATAAATTGCACTACTCCACTCTAAACGAATTAACATCCATCCACAGAGTTACTCGTGATTGTGACTTAAATCGTTCAAAAATTTATAACTCTAGTCTTTCAATGACATTGATTTCTTGATTAATTCATTTCAAATTCATATATTGAGTTTGTGGCACGAGGGGTTTGACGCAGGACATGGCTTCGATGGAATACTGCATTCGGGTCCTTCCCATTCTTTCATGCAGATGCAACTGGAATAAATAAATATATCAAATCCATTAAATCATTATCATGAAGAGAATTTCATTAAATTTCATTAAATTTGTTGATTGTGTGCTAATGAATCCATGGAATTTGATCATTTTTTCAAATGTAGATATTGTCAAGCCCTATTCATTCACATTAACTAAAATTCAATTCGTAAATCAATTTTTGGAATTTTTAAATTGTTTCAAAAATCGCTTGTCCCACGATAACTCAAAAAAATGTTCTGAATTCATTGAATGATGGCTTCAAAATCGTTTCGACGTCCCTTCGACCGAGTTCGAAGTTGTGTGCATTCATTTCGAGCTTTTTGAAGAGTAATTCTAGCGGAAAAGGGGCCCCTTACCTGTAGGTGGGACCATGATTCAAACAGACAGCTCCATTTTTACACGCATTTCTTGTGCACTCGTTCCGATGGCATTCGCCCACTCCTCGTCCACTGGCTGGACTTGATTTAGTCACGGGGAAGACCTGATTGTCTGTCTGCAGCTCCACGTCGTAAATACAACCTGCGAAGCCAGTGTGCAGGGGCAGGTCGTGTGGCAGTGTTTCGAAATTTTTGGACTTGTGTCCGCCTGCGAAAAAAGTCACGAGTAAATCTCGTCTCGAGGGATCCAAACACTTTCCCTGAACGTCGACTCGAGAATTTTTTTTTGTTAAAATTTTTAGTTGAAGTTATTGTCGTTTTTTTTAGAAAAACAATAATCCGATTAATATTTACATTAAAATATTTATTGACACATTACGTTGATGAACCAATGACCGATTTCGCTAAGAATTATTCCTATTTTATTGAAAATAGAAGAGAATCAAATTTGAGCCATTCGCAAAAAAAGTAAATGGAAGGAATTTAAATTAGAATTTTGAGGCTTTCACGACCAGCATTATTATTTATTTATCATGGCTCCCGAATGGATGTCGCATTTAGATTCAGCTTCTTGCTGACGTTTCGCATGATAAAATCGACAATTATGACTCACAGAATAATTTGTGAGTACGAATAATTCGAAAATACCGCGGGTTTTTTCAGTGACTAACTTCACGTGACTTATTGACCAATCAGAATCGAGGGATAGAGGTCAAGTGGTTTCGATATATTTCGATTTATTTCGATATATTTCGATTTATTCCGATATATTTCGATATATTTTGATTAATTTCGATATATTTCGATTTATTTCAATATATTTCGAGTTATTGCAGTTTTCTGCTTTTTGTGGTAGAGATCATGGAGATGATAATGCGCGAATGATTTTCTGACTGATGGAACGTGCGATTGTGACTTTAATATTTGCCTAATACCGAATTATATCTTTGTTACGCAAAACTTTGATATAATATGTATTGTTGCTACAATAAAAAAAAATATCGATATAAAACAACTTCAGGAAACAGATGGCAGCAGAGCGTCACCCACTCCGTGTTGCCCTGACGCCAATCAGTTCCTGAATTTCCCTAAAAAATCCCGTATTCTCACCGATATAAAGTATCGGAGAAACGTCCAATTGCGTCATAGTCCCAGCAGCTTGTCCCGTAAAATTTCCGAGACCATCGACGAAAAGCCAGGCATCCCTCCCCCTCCTGCCGACCCTCAGGAGATGAGGTCGATGAGCCTTGCTGGAGAGAGGAGTCTTGGTGAAGATCCTGCGGACCCCGGAGCCTAGGTCCCACGTGAGCATAATGAACCCCCTGACGTAAGTCACCGAAAAGTGATCTGAGATGTCACCCCCCGGGGAGCTCTGGCCCATATAAGCTATCAACGATATCTGATCGACTGAGTGAGGGAGGATTCGCATCCTGAACTCCATGCTGTCTTTTATCCCTGTATTTATCCCGTAGGCTGCGTAGGAGGAGAAACCCGGAATGAAGACGGAGAAGGAAGGCTGAACTATTGTTGATTCTGGGATAAATAAATAAGTCATTTGACTCAGTTGATGAATTAATTCGATTGCAATCAAACTGCCTTCACTTTGAACTTCACAAGTACTATTCGTAGTACTTTGATCTCAAAAGGTGATTTTTTAGTACTTTGACATTCGACTGTACTTTTGCTAGTACTTTGACCCCAAAGTACATTTTATAGTACTTTGCCCTACCAAAAGTGTACATTACTGAAAACAGATACAAAAGTACCTTTTGCGGCATTTCGGTCGCTGAAAGTACTATATAGTACTTTTATATTAAACTGCTTTTGTAGTACTTTAGCCTAAAGTACATTTGATAGTACCATCCCACAGCACACTTTGCAGTACATTAATTAAAAATGTACTTTTTGTAGCATCTTGAACTTCAAAAGTACAATTTACGGTACTTCTGCCAAGTATTTCATACAGTACTTTGACCTAAAAAGTATCATTTGTGACATTCCAACCCTTAAAAGTACTTTTTAAAAGCACATCGGCCCTCATGTGCATCACTTGACATTCAAAAGCACTTTTTATACAAGTACATTGACCTTCAAGGTACTTTTACTAGTACTTCGACTTTTAACCGTACTTTTTGTCGGATTATATATTATATATTACAGAATCTTGAACTTCAAAAGTACAATTTACGGTGCTTCTGCCAAGTATTTCATACAGTACTTTGACCTAAAAAGTATCATTTGTGATATTCCAACCCTTAAAAGTACTTTTTAAAAGCACATCGGCCCTCATGCGCATCACTTGACATTCAAAAGCACTTTTTATAAAAGTACATTGACCTTCAAGGTACTTTTACTAGTACTGCGACTTTTAAACGTACTTTTTGTAGGATTTGTGCCATTGAAAGTACTTTCTACAGTACTTCGACCTTCAAAATTACCTTTTTTAAAATAATACCTTTGGTGACAAAAATACTTTTTAAAAAAGGTACTTTGACCTTCAAAATACCTTTCTGAAAATAATAATTTGGCTGTTAAAAGTACTTTTTTGTAGTACTTTGATATTCGAATAACCTGGGTTTATCTTTAATCACCCAAAAATGATGATTAAATTAAAAAAATCATGAGAAAAATTACCTTCTTCACAACGCAGTCCATGCATTCCCAATGGACAGACACAAATGAATCCAGTACCTGGTGAACTAATGCAAGTGGCACCAAAATAACATGGATTATCATCACATGCTGTTTTCTCACACATTTCTCCAGAATATCTTGAACGATAAGGGAAAATTAGATGATAATAAATTCATTAATATTTATTTAATAAATTTATTATTCAATCATTGAATAATTCTTTTAAGCAAAAAAAAACATTTTTTCAATTAAAAGAAAACAGTTTTACATCGGAAATTGGAAAATATCAATTCATTAATTATTTAATTGAATATTTAATGAATTAATTTATCCATTCTTCCAATTTTTATAATCAAAACCGTTCGTTCTAATAAATGAATAGATTCGTTTGTCTTGAAAAATGTTTTTTTTCTCTGCATTTGTGATTCGAAATTATTTTACCCTGCGATACACTTGCAGTAGACCTTCCCATCGATATCATGACAGGATCCAAAATTCCGGCAAGGGTTCAGTAGGCACAAGAACGACGTGCACTCTTCAATTTGAAAAGTCTCTAAAGAGTCGTGAATGAAGTGCCTCTGCACGTCGTTCACCCTCAGCGCTCCCATGCAACCGATGAACCCCAGAGCAATCCTGGGGAAGTAGTGGGAGAACGCCTGGGGGATTCCCCCCAAGTGCAGTCTGACGGATCCCGGGATGTCTTCCCGCGCCGCCAGCATCTGCTCTCCACTCATCGCCATCGTTCCATTCACGAATAATTTTGCGAGGCATTTGCCTACTTTGTCTTCCACCATGTAACGAAATCTGAGAGAATTTGGGTAATGAATTTTTTGCATCATCTGTTGTTGAAAAAAATTATTTTGAAACTCATATTCAGGGAAAGGTAAAAAATCTTAACTTTCGGACAATGTTGGCTGCCAACGTTGGGGCAATGTTGGCTGCCAACGTTGGGGAAATGTTGGCTGCCAACATTGGGGCAATGCTGGGCCCATGTTGGCGGCCAACGGTAGGCTAATGTCGGGCCAATGTCGGTGGCCGACGTTGGGATAATGTTGGGCCAATATTGGCGACCAACTTTGGATTAATGTTGGCTGACGACGTTCGGGCAATGTTGAATTCAATGAATCATTGGATTCAATTTAAAATACATCGCCATAGAAATTTTATTCAGAGACAAATTTCTAAATTACTAGCAAAAATAAAATAAATATGTTGTGACGAAAGTAATTTCCCACTTCTTTTATTTGTAATGTTTTGCAATAATTTTTCTTTTCAACTCGATTTAATTTAACTTATTGGTTTATAATTTCTTTCAATTCAAAACTTTTTCTTTCGTCTCTTTCGGAGAAGTGGAGGCAAAACGGCTCATCGCGACAAATCGCGCTCAAAATTGACAAAAAAAAAGAAAAAACCAAGAAATTGATTTCATGAGAAAATCAATGCTGCCTAAAAAATTAAATTGTAATTCGGATGTCTAACTCACCTGATTTCTACATCAACGTCATGTCCATTGTTAATGGGAGTATCGATCTCCCCGAGGAGCATGGTCTGTAGACCGCAGGAGAACTGGAACTTCAACTGTCCGAACTCCACGTACAAGAGAACATACCTTTCTTCGTCGAAAAATGCGTGAAGAATAATTCCACTCTTCGATTTTGTCTTTAGCTGTAAGAAAATTTTCAACATTCCGTCGTGTTTTACGTTCACCTGCTGTCTGACGTACGATTTTCCGTTGAACGCAGCGATTTTTATGCTTGGGAAGGGACTGCAGCCGTCCAGAGCCGTGCAATTGCACTAGTAGTTGACGAAAAAAAGAAGAAAAAATAAAATTTCAGTTATAAAAGCTACATGAACAATTTTTTTTTCTGTTTTAATTAGAAAAGGCTGGGGCAAAGTGAAACGGTAGCCGATCTCGATATTTAAAGGTCAAACATCCTTGAAGGTCAAACCGGTGAGATAAATGAAATGATCAGGAGAATCAAAATTGAGCCACAAAAACAGGGGCTGTAATTTTCCTAAAACTGCCCTCACTTCGTTCTTCAAAAGTACTTTTTCAGTGCTTTAACTTTTAAAAGTAATTTTCCCAGTACTTTGATCAACAAAAATACCCTTTTTGGTACTTTGGTTAGCAAAAGTACTTTCCTACGTAATTCACCCGCAAAGTACGTTAGTACTTTGGGGTTCAAAAATACTTTGTTTAATGTTTGAGCGGTCAATCGTACTTTACTTAGTACTTCGATTTATAAAAAATTCTCTACTGAATACTTTGATCTTCAGATTACCTCGAAGTAGTACTTTTCCCAGTACTTTGGTCTTCAAACATGTTCCTTACAAGGTTTTTCTCAGTACTTTAACGTGTAAAAGTACTTTTCTCATTGACCCATATACCAAGTACATTATTACTTCCCCCCAAACGTACTTTATGTGGCGCGTTTCCATAAAAAGTACTTTTCTTAGTACTTTGATTCCCGACAATACTTTGTTCAGTACTTTGATCTTCAAATTACCTCAAAATAGAAATTTCAACTTCGTATGACCTTGACTTGTCGTAAGGGTCAAATGAAATTTCAATCGTAAATTTTCTCCTCTACTAGAAATTTTCTCTTCGACCCATTCCTTCCCAAGATAATTTACTTACACTCGTACTATTCCTCCCATCCTGCGTGCAGTTGAACGAAACTCCCCTGGTGACCTCTTCCCCCTCCAAAGTACTAACTCCCCCTTCGTAAACCTTCGTAGTACTTTCCACCGGTCTCGTCACACTGACCATTGTCACCATTCCCACCCCATCTGTCCCCCCACCACTGGATACAGTCGTCTCATCCCTACCCCCGCCGCCGCTCGTCGAAGTACTAATCACTCCACTCCTTACTGTCGTTCCCTTCGCTTCGGCTACATCAGCTGCCAAAGTACTTATTGTACTAAAAACCCCAAAAGTACTGGTGCTCGCAATAGTACTTGTACTCAATTCTCGCGCAGTCACATTACGCCCACCAGCCCAGTCATAACCCGTTGTAGTACTTTGTACCTGGAAGACAGTCGATGAAGTACCGACAGGAGTACCAACCGGTCCCAAAGTACTTGAAGTACTAAAAGTACTTTGGGTTACAAAATCAGTGGGTGTAGTTTTCCAAACACTGGCATCACTTCGTCCCTCAAAAGTACTTTTCGTTGTACTTTGACCTTCTAAGGCACTTTTCGTTGTACTTTGACCTTCTAAAGTACTTTTAGTTGTACTTTGACCCTCAAGTGTACTTTTTACAGTACTTCGACCTTCAATGGCACTTTTTCTGGTACTTCGACCTTCATACGATCTTGACGTAGTACTTTGACCTTCGAATGACCGTGTCGACGTTCCAACGTCAAAAAGTACAGTAGAAACGTGGCTAAAAGCATCTGTTGCAGGTTTTATTTCGTAACCTTGAGTCACGTTGGCACTTTTCGCAGTTGAGGTACTTGTCATTGCGGAAGTACTTGGTGGAGAGGTGCTCCAGGGGATGACCTCCTCACAGGCAGCCCCCGCATAAGGTGCGGGGCAGGAACAGGTGAAGGCATTGATGCCGTCGATGCAGGTGCCGCCATTCTGACATTTTGCAAATTTTGACTCGCAGTCGTTATAGCGTAGCTCGCAGAGGGGTCCGTGGTAGTCCGGGACGCAGTAGCAAACTGGCTGGCCGTCCTCGTGGAGGCACATGGCAGAATTGAGACAGGGATTGACGTCGCAGGAGACGACGGCCTTGTCGCAGTCCCTTCCGGTGAAGCCTTTTGGGAGGGAATTTTTGAGAGTTGAAAGGGGGTAATTGGTGTTTTGAGTGAGTAATTGGTGGGTGTAATTACCGAATAGGCAAGCGCAGGTGTAGGAGGCGGGGATGTTCAGGCAGAGCCCCCCGTTCAGGCATGGGGAGCTCAGGCACTCGTCGACGTCTTCCTCGCAGAACTCCCCCGTCCAGCCTTCCCTGCATTTGCAAATGAAGGAGTAACCGGGACCATCGACACATTCTCCTGAGTTCCTGCAGATCGTACTGTTGCATACTGAGATGTCAATCTCGCAGTAGTCACCTGAGACAATTGGGGGTTTCGTCGTTGAGACGTAAAATTTAAGGCTGAACCTGAATTCAGGAATGGGGGTGAAATCAGGTTTAGGGATCAATCTTTATCTACTTCAGATGTTAAATTTGGATCTGAATTCAGGCCCAAGTGGAACTTTATGCACACCTGAATTTAGATTCAGGTGTGCGTGAAAATTCCCGCCAGGACCTGAATTCAGGTGTGACCAAGAATTCAGATCCGGTCATCTATTGACGTGTGAATTCTACATTTAAGCCGAGAAATTAGTTGATGTGTGTACCTGAATTTATATCAGTACCTGAATTTATTTTTTGGTGGCACTTCACACATGTGCCTGATTTTAATCATTGATCTGAATTCAAGCCCGAAAGCAAATTTATGTCAGGACTTGAATTCAGGTTCGGGAATGGTGCAGTCGTGAATTTGAGCTTGGTCAAACATTGTGAACTTACATGAAGGTAGGGGCTTGAAATCAGGTTTAGGGATCAATCTTCATCTGATTCAGATGTTAAATTTGGATCTGGCCCAAGCGCAAATTAACATACAGGCCTGAATTTATATTAGAACCAGAATTCAGGTCCAATCGGAACTTTACGCACGCCTGAATTTATATTCAGGTGTGTATGTAAATTCCCATCAGGACCTGGATTCAGGTGTGACCAGGAATTCAGATCCGGCCATCTATTGACGTGTGAATGCTACATTTAAGCCGAGAAATGAGTTGATGTATCTACCTGAATTTATATCAGCACCTGAATTCAGTTTTGGTGTCACTTCACACTTGCGCCTGATTTTAATCATTGATCTGAATTCAAGTCCCAAAGCAAATTTATGTAAGGACCTGAATCCATTCCCGAACCTGAATTCAGGTGCAGTCGTGAATTCAAGCTTGATAAAACATTGTGAAGCTATATTAAGGCAGGGGCGTTAGTTGATATGACTACCTGAATTTCATTGAATTGAATTTCATGAATTTCAATTCAGGTTTGATGTTGTTCTACGCCTGCTCTTGTTTTGAAACACTGCCCTGAATTCAGATCCAGACGGGAATTTACGTATGAATTTGAATTTATGTCCAGACCTGAATTTCTATCGGGCCTGAATTCAGGCACGCCTGTGAATTCAAGACCACTCATACATTGACGTGTGAATCTGCATTTAGGCCTTCCAATGCATGTATGCGCCGACCTGAATTTATATCTGGACCTGAATTCAGGTATGGGCTTAAATTCTTGAGATCTTTTAGAATACCCAAAATATTATAAATTAGTTACGCCTTCTGATTGAAAATTTCCAATGATTCTAGGCCAAACAACTGTCCCCGATTTCGCCATCTCCGCCCCGCCTGTATTCCAATAAAAAAATCACGTTCTCTGACTTGGATAAATAATGGAAATACTCAATCACCGGAATATCCGTCTTGGCACTGACACGTGAACCCGTTGTAATCGATGCACGTTCCATTATTGAGACACGGCTGATTCATGCACTCGCTGTACTTCTGCTCGCAATTAGTTCCTGATTCGGACAAATTGGGCGTAAGTCGTCAGTGCATTATGAGAGGCAATCGGGGAAGGATAATTACCGATGAATCCTTCGGGGCACGTGCAGTTGTAAGCGGCAACGGCGTCGGTACAGGTGCCACCGTTCATGCAGGGATCCGACCAACAGTCGTCCCAGTTTATCTCGCAATTTATTCCCGTGTAACCGTCGATGCAATAACACGAGTATGAACTGTATTAAAAATTATTGGGCGAATAAAATCCAGAAAAATGAAATTAGCTAAATTTTATTTAATTTCATTTTATTTCAGGATAACTAAAGTAGAATAGAAAATATATAATTAAAGTAGTAAACATAACTTGAAGTATGATAACGAAATTCATAATTAAATTGATTACTTAATATTGAAATGGAAAAATGTCTGAGAAAATCGCAAATTCATCAATTTTTCATGAGTTTCAGCTTTAAAAATTATTTGGGAAAATTCAATTATTTAAATTATTTGAAATTATTGCAACGCACAATTTTTTAAATTTATGGAGTCATTTCTAGATTTTTAGCAATTGAAAATTTTTTTTTTATGATCTTTACCTGTTCGCGCTGTCAAGACAAATTCCATACATGCATGGATCACTCGTGCAGTTCAATGCTGCAGTCCATTTGAGGATGGAGCACAATACGGCAACGATAATCACTTGTTGCCGGAGGAATTTTATTGACCTGGGAATTTCAAACAATTTGAATGGCAAAATTATTATCTTCAATACTAATTGCACTTTCAACTGGAATTTATTCTTCTTCACCCTGACTCGAGAAAAAAACAATATGTACTTTATTTTTATTTCAACAAAAGGTTCCAAATTTTCGGAAAATAAATCCAATTTTCAGTCGATATCATCTCCCATTTATTACAAAAAAAATTGATACAAAATTTTTATAAATTGAATTTTCGACAGGAATTCTGAATTTAATCCTTCAGAAATAAAATTATTGTTTCATTTTTTTCATAAAGATTTTTAAAATATCACGCAAACTGAATTCTTCAAATGAATTCTGTAATTTCAATGACAAGACATTCCATTTTCTTGATTTTGTTTTCGGAAAAAAAAATTTTACATTATTTTTATATTTTCGGAAAAAAAAATTGTTAAATTTGCTCAAATTCAGTTTTTTCTACAAATTCTTCAATTATCAACACAATTAATCCTCAACTTTTCACCTGCAAACTTATTCATCCGAGAAATTTGAACAAAATTCGAATAATAAAATTCTGATTATCAACACTAATGTAACGTCCGCTGAAAAATCCATCAAGACATTTTTCCTGAACACTTTTCTTCATAAAATGACCCGTCATTTCATGATTTTCACCAACACATATTTGAACAGAAAGTCAAATGTAAAGATTCCAAGGGTCAGATGTAGAAATCTCAAAGGCCAATTGGGGATTTACAAGGGTTAATCAAGCAAAATGTAAATACGACACTCAACAGATTTGTTCACAAACAACAAACTGAGATTTATTATTGGAAAACCATGAAAATTCCATTCAACCATTTCAAAAATATGAAAAGAAGAATTTATCAAATGAAGGAGTAATATCAAAGAAAAAATTCAAAATTCAATTTTTTCTACAAATTATTAAGACAATTATCAACACAATTAATCTTCAACTTTTCACCCGCACCGTATTGATCCGAGAAATGCGAACAAAATTTAAATAAAAGATTCTTATCATCAAAAGTAATGTGACTTCCGCTGGAAAATCCATCAAGACATTTTTCCTGAACAATTTTCTTCATAAAATAATCCGTCATTTCATGATTTTAACCAACACGCATTTGAACAGAAAGTCAAATGTAAAGATTCCAAGGGTCAGATGTAGAAATCTGAACCCTTAATGCATGAATATGATTTGAATAATGATTATTGTTATTATTTGATAATACTAATTTCATATCGAATTAAAAAATGAATGATTTCATTAACATGTCCAAAATAATGGAAACAATTGAGATTTATTATTGGAAAACCATGAAAATTCCATTCAACCATTCCAAAAATATGAAATGAGAAATTTATGAAACGAAGAAGTAATATAAAGGAATTACGAAATGTTTGTGAATTTCACTATTAGTCGGTAGTAGGAAAAATCAACCACTGAAATCTCGATTTTTCCTCACGTTCAGTCGAGGAAAAAATAGTATTTCCTTAATTATCACGAAATAAACTGAATTTTTTATAAATCTCTTCACAAACTCTTCTGAAATAAAATTATGAACTCAATAAACCACTCATAAAAATTGAAAAAAAACTGAATTCTTCTCATAAATTCTTCAATTTCAGTCTTGAACCGTTTTCATTCCCTAAAAAATTGAATTAAAATCGTCAAAAATTTAATCTTTCCCCTAAATTCAAAAATTCAATTTATCATCGACTGAAAATTTTCCATTATCCCCAGAATTTATTCATAACATTTCGTCGAATCCCTTTCGAATATGATTTCAATACACATTTATGTGATCGCGGTACCCAGAGGTCAAAGACATAAAAAAAACCGCAAACACCTGAAGATAAAATCTCCAGTCAACCGCAATGCTCGACAAACTACTTCATAAAGTGCGAAAAAAAAAATAAAATCGATGTAAAGTGGAAAGCCCCCGATTTCCGTGGAATTTACCTTAACGTCATACTGGCGCGCGTTAAAATGAAAAGCCGACTGAATGAGTATGTACAGAGGCCGGTATATACACTGGTAGACCCGTTTCACCCGTGTGTATCTATGACAACTTGTAAACAACAAAGGGTAGTTTTTCTGGCGGGTGGACATACGCCTGCGTGCCATCACGCTCGATAGATGATTCTCATCAATAGTGATATCTCGGATTAATGATGAAGGATGTTTATTCATTTTCCAAAATCTAATTTTTCGGACATTTCTGAAAAATTCTGATATCTCTCTATATAATAAAAAAATAAGCCCAAAAATTCAGGCGACGCTCAAAATTCAGGCGACGCTTGACCCGGCCCTGTGGCGACAGATCGGCCCTGGGGCGTCACTGATGCGGCCCTGGGGCGACACTGATCCGACCGTGGGGCGACACAGATATGGTCCTGGGGCCGACCTGACGTGATCCGAGTCAACCCGACGTGACCCGAGCCGACGTGACCCCAACCGACCTGATGTGACCCGATGTGACTCAAGCCAACCCAATCCTGACAGGTCACAGGGTGATTTTATATATCTCTCTATATAATAAAAAAATAAGGGCAAAATTTAAGACAATTCAGGCGACGCAAAAATTCAGGCGAGGCAAAAATTCAGGCGACGCCTAAAGGTGGGGGGGGGTGGTCAGGGGGTGCCCAAGGTCGGGGGGGTTAGAAGGGAGGAGGGTGTCCCAGGGTCAAACGCGGTGGGGGGGCTGACAGTTGGATTGGGGGGAGCGAGCGAAGCGAGCGGGGGGCGAACCCCCCCGGGGTTGGCGAGCGAAGCGAGCAGGGGGCGAAGCCCCCTAGTTTTAAATAAATAAAATGAAAAATTAATGAATAAAATAAAAAATCTGACGGTAAACAGACACCAATTAGAGCTGTTCATGACTGTTATCAAGTAGTTGCGCATGAGGAGATCAAAAGATGAACCTTTTGTCTTCATATCTCTCTATAGTATGAAAAGGCAAATCGACTTCTGGTGATAAAAACTTGGTACTCGAAATTAAGACTCTAAAATTAAGGGTCACGAGGGCCATGAGGGTCAAAATAAGGATTATGAGGTTCAGAATCAGGGTCACGAGTATCATGACGGTCAGATTAAGGGTCACAAAGGTGAAATTAAGAGTTATGAGGGTCAGAAAAAAGGTCACGAGGGTCAGATAAAGGTCACAAGGGTCAAAATAAGGGTCCGAATGCGGGTGACAAGGATCAGATTAAAGGTTATATGGGTGAAATTAAGGGTCACAAGATTAAAAGTCAAAAGAGTCAGATTAAGGGCCCAAATAAGGGTAGCAAGAATCAGATTAAGGGTCTATATAACTCACAAGGTCAAGAATAGGATTCACGAGGGTCAGATTAAAGGTCACAAGGATCCGATTAAGGGTCAAAATAAGGGTCTAAATAAGGTTCACAAATTAAGGGTCGCAAGATTGAAAGTAAAAACGGTCAGATTAAGGGCCCAAATAAGGGTAACAAGGGTCAGATTGAGAGTCTAAGTAAGTTTCACAAGGTTAAGAATAAGGGTCACGAGGGTCAGATTAAAGGTCACAAGGCTCCGATTAAGGGTCAAAATAGGGGTCCAAATAAGGTTCACAAGGATCAGATTAAAGGTTATATGGGTCAAATTAAGGGTCACAAGATTAAAAGTCAAAAGAGTCAGAATAAGGGCACAAATAAGGGTAACAAGGGTAAGATTAAGGGTCTAAATAAATCTTACAAGGTTAAGAATAAGGGTCACGAGGGTCAGATTGAAGGTCACAAGGATCCGGTTAAAAGTCAAAATAACGATCCAAATAAGGGCCACAAGGATCAGATTAAAGGTTATATGGGGCAAATTAAGGGTCACAAGATTAAAATTCAAAAGGGTCAGATTAAGGGTCTAAATAAGTCTCACAAGGTCAAATATAAGGGTCACGAGGATCAGATTAAAGGGCGCAAGGGTCCGATTAAGTGTCAAAATAAGGGTCACAAGATTAAAAGTCAAAATGGTCAGATTAAGGGCCCAAATAAGGGTAACAAGGGTCAAATTAAAGGTCTTATCTGAATAAGTCTCACAAGGTTGAAATTAAGGTTCCAAATAAGGGCCAGAAACACCAGGGTCGAAAAAAGAGCTACGAGGGTTATAATGAGGGTCACGAGGATCCATACGGGTCACAAGGGTCAGATTAAGGATTACAATGGTCAGATTGAGGGTCCAAATAAGGGTCATGCGGGTTAGAAACTAACGGTCATAAGGGTCAAAATAAGGGTCTCGGTATTTCTCTATATGATAAAAATCCAAATCGATTTCTGGTGATGAAAATTTGGTAATCGAAATTAAGGCTCCAATATTAAAGGTTAAAATAGGGGTCTCGAGGGTCACGAGGGTCAGATTAATCCTCGATCGGTCGCCTCATGGCACGAGCGCCGTTCTGTCTCGATTTTTATTTTTTACTGAGAAAATTGGAATTTCTACTTTCAACCATGTCAAACATTCTATTTCTTCATCTCCATCACCAGCCCAATCACCTCCCGCGATTTTCCATCCGACTAAAATTAACGTTTTAAATCCTCGATATAAAACGTTAATTTTTTTATACACCTTTTTTTGTTTGTAAATAATTGTGAATATCTGTAAATATGCACTTTTGAACGAAAACATGATTGAACAAAAAAAATTCTATCCGACTCGGATTGAATCAGTCCAGTCTCCATCTTATTAAATATATAAATAAAAGTGTCGACGGGAGGAAAAGGTGTCGGGGCCTCTCGCGCAGTCTATTTCGAACCCCAGATGCATGTAGTCAAATAGGCAGTGGAGTTCTGATCTAATTACGCGCTCGTCTTTTTCTCGCGACTCTGAGAAGCAATCACAACTTGATCATTCACTGTCGCAATTATCCTTGATTGTAAGTAGAAAACAAGCCCAAACAAGTAATCAATCATGCGAAACACTAAAAAATTAGGACTGATTAAATAATGAAACATCTTCTGAACGAATCGATAAAATTTTCTCTCCAAAAACTCTAAAATTAGAAGGCTAAATGGTGTAGAATCCCTACTGTAATTATCGATCCTCCCCAAAACAAGGAAAAAATTTCTGAATTGTGTAATAGTTAAGTAGGGAAGCGGTGAAACGATTTAAGTCGACTTAAATGGTTTAATGCCGCAATGTGTGGAAAGTGAAATTTTGCGCCCGCGGGGCGTGCGTAAAATGTCACTTGACACACGAGTGATGAAAAAATACTTTTCCCACGGGTGTCTCTCTATATTATAAAAATCCAAATCGATTTCTGGTGATAAAAATTTGGTAGTCCAAATTAAGACTCCAAAATAAGGGTCACGAAGGTCAAAATAAGGGTCATGAGGTTCAGAATATGAGTCACGAGGGTTGGAATAAGGGTCACGAGGGTCAAAATAAGGGTCACGAGGGTTACGATAAGGGTCACGCGGGTTAGATTAAAGGTCATGTAGGTCAGAATATGGGTCATGGGGGTCAGAATAAGGGCCGCGACGGTCAGAATAAGGGTCACGAGGGTCAGGGGAAGGGTCACGCGGGTTAGATTAAAGGTCATGTAGGTCAGAATATGGGTCATGGGGGTCAGAATAAGGGCCGCGACGGTCAGAATAAGGGTCACGAGGGTCAGGGGAAGGGTCACGCGGGTTAGATTAAAGGTCATGTAGGTCAGAATATGGGTCACGAGGATTGGAATAAGGGTCACGAGGGTCAGAATAAGGGCCGCGAGGTTTAGATTAACGGTCATGTGGGTCAGAGTATGGGTCACGAGGGTGAAAATAAGAGTCATGAGGTTCAGAATAAATGTCATGGAGGTCAAAATAAGGGTCACGAGGGACAAAATAAGGGTCACTGAGTTAGATTAAAGGTTATGTAGGTCAGAATATCAGTCACGAGGGTCAGATTAAGGGTTACAAGGGTCTAAATAGTTGTCACAAGGGTCAGATTAAGACTCATATGGGTCAGATTAAGGGTCACAAGATTAAGGGTCAGACTGAGGGTCCACATAAAGGTAACAAGGGTCAGAATAAGGATCACGTGGGGATCGTACGAAGGTCATATGTAGGTAATATAAGGGTTGGCGAGCAGAGCGAGCAGGGTGCGAAAAGTGGGATTTTGCGCACGCGGAGCGTGCGTAAAATGTCACTTTACGCACAAGTGATGGAAAAGCCGTTTTACCGCTTCACTACTGAATCAAAAACCTCGGTAATTCCCCCCTAGTTCCTAAAAATGGATGATCCTGAGAGAATGGAGCACCTCATCCGTCGCCACCTGTCCTCCCACGGTCTCCCAGCCTCGGAGGACCAGCCCTGGTGCGTCAGATCCTCAAAATTGAACGGGCGCGGTCTCTTCGCCGCCCGGGACATCAAACAGGGCGAGGAGATAGTGCTCGACGCTCCGGTCATCCTCGGCCCCAGGTGCTACGACAAACACCCCCCCATGTGCGTCAACTGCCACAAAACGGGCGTCACCCTCTTCCCCTGCGACCGGGGCTGCGGCCTTCCCGTTTGCTCCGACACGTGCGAAAATGCGAGAGAACACGTGGAGAGGGAGTGCGAAACACTGAAAAAGTGGAGACCTAACTGCGGGTCCATGTTCTCCAAGGAACTCCTGATGTCGGTACTTCCGGTTCGTTCACTAGCTCTTGGGGACGAGGATAAGGAACTCATAGTGGCGATGAAGGGTCACAAGGGGCCACTTCATGGTAGAGAGGTGAAATTTCAATTTTTTAGTGCAAAATCAATTTTTTTTATTAAAAAAAGGACAAAAATGACCATTTCACATTCACTTCATTCACAAAATTCTTTTTCTCAAGAACTAGGGGAAATAGATCGATTCAATTTTTTTCATCCGAAAGCTGAAACATTTTACGATTCCACCCCCTAGTTATGAACCCATTTTACCTCGTAATTTTCTAAGATCTTAGAAAAACGAATTTTTGGAGCTTGAAAACGATTTCTGTGATATTGGCAGAGGTACTGGGGTAAAATGGGTTCATGATCAGGGGTTGGAATCGGAAATTTTTCTAGCTCTCGACAGAGACCATTTTTATTCTCCTCTCATTATTAATTTTCAAATGAGAGAATGACATCAATTAAATGGAATGAAAAAATCGATGAAAACTTGATGAAATTGAAAGAAAGGAACGAAAGAAGATGAATAAATAATAATAAATAATTAGATAGACTTATTGAAAGGGAATTTGGATGGAGGGATAGACCCCATGGAGGAGGAGTTTATGCTGAAGGTCTGCAGAGTGATGGATACGAATGCAATGGAGACAGGAACTCTCGCTGACGATTCGAGAGCGATAAGTTTGAGGGCTCTTTACCCCATCGGGGCGATGCAGAACCACTCGTGCACCCCTAACACCCGTCATTACTTCAAGGCTAATGACGTGATGAGCCTTTGCGCTACTGTGAAGATCAAGGAGGGCGAGGAGCTGACGATGACGTACATCAGCCCCCTCTGGGACACTTTCATCAGGAGGAGATATCTTATGATGTCGAAGCACTTTGAGTGCAGGTGCCGAAGGTGTTCGGATCCTTCCGTAAGTGTGTTCTGTTTCAATTGAGTCTTTATATACCCCGACAAAAATATAGCCCGACAAGCACAAAAATTCAGTGGAGTTACCGAAAATCTAGGGAGTAACATGTTATAACTCGGAGGATCATAATTCCCCCCATAAATCTGAAGCGCTGGACATTTCTGTCTTAAGATACTGGCGTACTCCTCGAAAACTCTCTTGTATCCGCGGGAGTAGCTGAAAAAACAATTCCAAGATTAATAAACAAATCAGTCCTGAATTGATAAAACAGGAAAAGTCAATTTCACTTCAGAACAGATCAGTTTTTGTCGATTATCTGGGAATCCAAGAGAGATATCGAAATTTTTGTAGGAACCTCTTTTACGGAGCTGAGTGAGATCTACAAAAATGGTCCTTATCAAAATTTCGATATCTCCCTTCAATTCCGAGATATTCTCCGCTCGCTTGAGACACCGTAGCGTTCAGACGTATTTGTCAAGTGCTCTGTGCGGTATATAGTCAAATGGAGGTATTCCTCATTTTACATATCCGAGTGCGAATTAAATAAATACCATCAATTATAGTCATTTTTC